CACGAGGGCGACCCAGAAAAAAGTCCCATAGAACTCAATGTAAACTAAAACACCTCGACCTCAGCTGACAGAGAACCTACAGCTTTCAGAAATATCGAATTTTGTGGGGATTTTAGTGTCCCTTGTCATCCTGAACTTTTTTTCTTCTTAAATCCTTCTGTTTTCTTTAAATCCACACTTCACTGCCACAAACTCTGCTTGTTTCCTTCCCGCTCTGACTCTGCTCTACTGCTGCTCTAATCAGCAGCTCTGATTGGTCAGAGCGCGGTCGAGCCCCTATGTGCACGTGCACGAGAGACACACACGCGTATTTGGCGCAACGCATCATGGGAGCTCGTCCACTGCGCAGAACCGGGAGGACCAGACGATGCCCAAATACAGGCCAGTTCTGCTAATCTTTCGGTTCCAGTGAAGTCCCATGCGCTACTGAGCACAAGCCAATAATTTGAATAGGGCGCCATCTTGGATCACTGGGGCTTGGTTTAAATACACTAACGACTAACGAGACACAGGTGATACACATGAGGGCGGGGCTTGTAATCAGGAAACAGGAAGCACAACTAAAGACAACATAGGGGTTAAGAAACTACAAAATAAAACCGGAAATAAGCTTAAACAATGACATATACACAACTGCAAAGTGTGTATACCTCATGTTTAAAATCATTTAAAAATCCTTTCATATCATGTGGTTAGTGATATTTGAATAGTATTTGTTATATAATATTTAGAGGGATCAACAAGTACATATTAAAAAATATGTGATTCTCAGGTGTTCCAAAAACTTTGATGTACAAACTATAAAGGGTAGAGGCTGTTGTTGTTTTGTATATATATAAATATTTTTTACGTATGGATACATTTTTGCATCAATTATTTTAACGATTTCACATAAACACAACACACACAAACAATGCAGCACAAGGAGTTGGTTTCATTTATGAATAATGACTCTCTTTTGATTTCCTTTACAATTTGTTTTATCTTAGTGAGTGCCTTGACATCAGATCGAAACCTTGTACTTCTATTCCACTTTGGTTTTATTCTGCAAATGAAAAAATAAACTGGATCTTTTGACAGAAATAGAATCCTGATGGAGCGACATGGGTCCATAGCTCGTCTGGGGCGCGCATGTCACAGGAGGTGGGGGGGGGGGGGGGGGGGGGGGGGATAATGAGTGGGGCAGATGTGCACACACACCTGATGCCCCCACCCCACTGCTACCCTGTTACCGCAGCAACTTCACACATGTATATTTCATAACTACTGTAAACCACAGCTGAGTGACACGTCTTCCTCTTTCCTTTATGAGCACCTCTCAGCGTCTCATATTTGCATTTTACCGCCACTTGACATTATGACCTCCTTCTGTGCAGGAAATGTGAAAATGTGCAATTATCAGCAGCAGAGAAACTATTCTTGGCCTCCATTTGGATGTTTGTGTCCCCAGACGTGGGCTGCTTTTGATACAGAGATTCAGATGATAAAGACATGCTTGCGTGTGTTTGGCCTTTATCATTACAGCCTCATAGTCTATCGAAATAACAGTTTACTTTTTGTTCTTTTTAAGCATGTAATTTTACATATCAACTGTGAATTTACTCATCAACAGAAAGTAATGGGAAACATACATTAATGATTTTTGTAATGGAGGAATGCTTTTTTTTTGAGAGGTTTTATTTTAACACATCACTGAAAGGGCAGAAAAAATAAGAAAAAAACACAAAGCCAAACATAAATGAAAAATAAAAGTAAAAGTAAATATTTACCAGTCTACACGTTTCATTTCCTTACATAGAAACAACAGTTTAACATGCAATGAATAGTAATTAAAGCTGGGGTACCAAACTTTCACACCACACACAAAATATAACTAGCTCCTCGCTCTCAACAGTTTAGTTCCATCATTAGTTTGCATGTGCTTGTGGTAAAGCTTTTTCAGAGAGAAAAGTTAAAAAGAGGGGACCAAACCTCATTGAGCCAATCAGCTCTCAGCCCAAAGCGGCAAATAGTGACTCCCAGGGCTATTTCTTTTATGTTTGAAAAAGATCAAATGTTCTAATAAGATGAAGATAGAAAGTTGTTGTCTGAAAAAGTTAGGTACTCTTATCTTTAGTGATGAATACATGACTTATATATACAAATATATCTGTATAGACATAAGATGGATTGTTGATTATGATAATTTAGCATTATAATGGTTCCTTCTTTTTTTATACTATTTTTATATGATTCTGATCTTACTATATACATTTTTACTGGACATTTGTAACTTTGTCATCTGTTTTACTCTGCCCTGGTAGTTACTTATGTGCATCTCTATGGAAACGGTTGTAGTACTGAATATAATAATGTGGATTGGATTGAGAGCCTTGAGACCCGTATACGCGGGTGTTGCTAACTTGCTCTGAATGCACAAAGTTCTCAAATGAAATCGTAGTGAATGCTAACTTCCCGTCGGTTGGCTCCAGAACATACTCGTGTCAGTCAAAGCCAGTCTCTGGGGACGAGGCCTACTTTTCACTGTTGCTGTGAGTTGCCTCAGTCAGCTCCACAGGTTGTAGACATCTCCAGAGCTAATGCCCCGACTGATCAAAGTTCGGCAAGAATAGCAGTGTCAATCCCAGTGGCTGCTGCGATAAAAGACAAACCAGGGAATTTGGGGTGATGCTGATTGGCACTCAGACTTCCCGGGGCACAGCTCATGTAGTTTACCGACTATTTGTATTTTACATGTTTTTGCGATTTACGTTAATAATAAGACACTTGTGAATTTGGTGTGGATGATTCTTTCCTATGATCGACCACCACTGACTGTAGAGTGATGTTGTTTAAAGCACCTGGGAAGGACTAAACAATGATTTAAGGGGGAAAAAAATCATTTCCACAAAACATTTTGGAAAGTGTGCCAGTATCTTGTTAATTGATAACAATTCATCTTCAATAAGTCAAGGCAAGGCAAGTCTAATCTAAATGCAGCAATAGTGTTTTTTTGTGTAAATGGGGCGTAGAGATAGATAAGGGCCTAAAAACCTTTATCTTTTTACCAAATCGTAACATTTCATTTAGAAATAGTTTGTATCAAATTGTATCAAACCGAACGCCCCCTGTATCTAGATATGTACAGTACACATACTGTAAATATTAATAGTACAATATCATGTCATGCGTTTCGAGGTACACATTGTATCAGCAGGCTCTGAAAGGTACCCATCCCCAAATGCAGTATTTGTTTCATGCATTTTTTATTTTAAGATACCAAATGAAAACAACTCTTTTGAAATTGTTTGCAAGTGTATCTTATTATTTTCAGTAAAAATTAAAAGACATACGCATGCAAAACAGCGCAAAAATAAAGTTATTCTAATCCTACTCTATCCTATATATGTTCAAATATTAAACAAACTAGTGTGAAAGTATTCCGAATATTCAGAACACAGTCCTCTGATTGGACCATGTAGAGAAATATGTTAAAGCAGGCATTCAGCATTCTGTAGCTAAATGCATTTTCAAAATATTCTTCCCAACACCATCCATAAGAAGAACATGTGCGCGTATGTCCTGCTTTCATAAACCCTGTGGAAATCAAGTCATTTGGATTCTCCCTTTGTTCTGTGTCGCAGTCTGAGTGCTGTCACTGAGACATGTCTTTTATCAGCGCTGATCTCTGCTGCTTTGGTCTCTGGCTCCTTATGTTGTCAGACTCTCTTCTTGTCACATTCAGCTGCGACTGTCACCAGCAGGGGGCATCTGCTGAAGATGTGTACGTGTGGAAGTTAGAGATCAGAGGAAACATTATAGGGAGATATTTGACTTGGATCGAAATACTGCCCGTGGCAAAGCTGCTCTCAACTGAGGTTTTTTATAATTTATAATAATATATAAGTCAAATGCTGAGGTGTGTACTGTGGAAAACATCTCTCTGAAGGCCACAAAAATAATATATATTTAATGCAACTGAATGACTTTTTAGGGCAAAAAGATAGATGGGGTACTGGGGCTTGAAATAAAAAGGTTTATGTTATTTAATTATCATTTCTAAAGGTGAGCTAATGGAAGCTCCTGAGTTTTTTGATGGAAGACTTCTACAGTAGTTATGCAAGAGTCACAGAAATTCTTTTCCATTTTTGCTTTCTTCCTTATTTTCAGCCTCCTATTATATATCTATGTACAAGTTGCGAGTTGGCGGACTTCAGCTTATACTAAAGTGAAAAAAGTTCAGAGAGAAACCAAGATTGTGTATCCCTTTTTTTGCCTGGATGAAAGGATATTCAAACATTTATATATTTTACTTATTAGAAATTCAAGCCCCGCGTTGCTCCCATTACATAATTTAGCACAGCCCTTGACTCGTCGACCCTTGCTTCATGATAAACGCCTCGTCATCGTTTGGATTAATTGCTTTGAGAGAAAAATATGCAGAGTGATCATCACCAAAACACAGAACACATCACACTGGGGACAATTAGCTTTTTGCTGACATTTCTTTTGTGTGTGAAGGTTTTACACTAATTACTATCTAACGTGTTTGTTCAAACTTAAAGCAGAAAAATAGATTTGATGTCTTTGTGGTCATAGATGTTCAAGTATAGCTCATTAACTTACTTATTAGAGATAGTATAACAACTCTACATCATCATTTCTGTGTCTTATTTATGAAATGTTCCAATGGTGCAAATTAACAGCCTCACTCCAGTTCCCAGGGCAGCTCTGGCTTCTACCCCATTTGTGTGGAATGAATAAAGAATGCAATATAATGTATATACATGTATATACATGAATAACAGTATTATTCTGAGAGGAGTTTTGTTTCTCTTCTCATACATCTCCATCAGAGAGCTTTGGTCTAAATGCTTTGCCGTTCCTGTTTTATTGGATTAATGCTGGACTTGTCCTTGTCAGATCTGGGACATGGTGTCCTTTATTGGGACATTAGTATTAGGCTCTCGTGGCCCGTCTGTCCTGTGTGTTGCGGCTAACAGCTGTCTCTGTGTTCCTAGGCCTGGCTGAGTGAGATACATGAGTATGCACAAGAAGATGCTGTGCTCATGCTGCTGGGAAACAAGGCAAGGCATTGTGGGCTGTCTGTCTATGTTAGATGTTTTAATTATTTATGTTGTGATGTATTAAAAAGAAGTACTGTTTCCCTTCAGGCTGATTCCACACATGAGAGAGTGGTGAAGAGAGAAGATGGTGAGAGACTCGCTAAGGTAAACAAGTGAATCCAAAATGTACCAAATAAACACAATTGCATGTATTTAATGAGTGTAATGCACAGGAGTTTGGAGTCCCCTTCATGGAGACCAGTGCCAGGTCTGGTCTAAACGTGGAGCTGGCGTTCACTGCTGTGGCAAAGTGAGTTCTTCACAAGGCACTTCAGCCAGAGACACTTTCACACCTATCCTCTCACACATGTACAATGTATATTGTATTGTATATTTTAGTAACTCAAAGGCATATGTTCAAAAGTTTGCTGAATTAGTCATGAAATTTGATATATAATTTGCTGGAGGCCATATCAATGCAATTCAATGATTACTGACAGTTTTTTCATAGGAACAAATTAAGGTTGCGTTCATGTTCTAGAATTGTATTTGAGTTGGAGGCATAGACTGACAGATGCCAATACAACTTGAAAAAATACAAAAAATTAAAATATTTTCCCAGATCATTACTTGTTGGTGATTAATAACGTTGTAATATTTTTCTTTCTGAACGTCCTTTCTTTTGGCCAACATACAGTGGGGCAAAAAAGTATTTAGTCAGCCACCGATTGTGCAAGTTCTCCTTAAAATAATGACAGTGGTCTGTAATTGTCATCATCGGTACACTTCAACTGTGAGAGACAGAATGGCAAAAAACAAAATCCAGAAATTCACATTGTATGATTTTTAATGATTTTATTTGTAAATTATGGTGGAAAATAAGTATTTGGTAACTTCAAACAAGGAAGATCTCTGGCTCTCACAGACCTGTAACTTCTTATTTAAGAAGCTCTTCTGTCCTCCACTTGTTACCTGTATTAATGGCACCTGTTTGAACTGGTTATCTGTATAAAAGACACCTGTCCACAGCCTCAAGCAGTCCAACTCCAAACTCCACTATGGCCAAGACCAAAGAGCTGTCGAAGGAAACCAGGAAAAGAATTGTAGACCTGCACCAGACTGGGAAGAGTGAATCTACAATAGGCAAGCAGCTTGGTGTGAACAAATCAACTGTGGGAGAATGTCATGTGGTCAGATGAAACCAAAGTAGAACTGTTTGGTATAAACTCGACTCGTCGTGTTTGGAGGAAGATGAATACTGAGTTGCATCCCAAGAACACCATACCTACTGTGAAGCATGGGGGTGGAAACATCGTGTTTTTCTGCCAAGGGGACAGGACGACTGATCCGTGTTAAGGAAAGAATGAATGGGACCATGTATCGTGAGATTTTGAGGCAAAACCTCCTTCCATCAGTGAGAGCTTTGAAGATGAAACGTGGCTGGGTCTTCCAGCATGACAATGATCCCAAACACACCGCCCGGGCAACGAAGGAGTGGCTTCGTAAGAAGCATTTGAAAGTCCTGGAGTGGCCTAGCCAGTCTCCAGACCTCAACCCCATTGAAAATCTGTGGAGGGAGTTGAAAGTCCGTGTTCACTGCTCTCGAGAAGATCTGCATGGAGGAATGGGCCAAAATACCAGCTACTGTGTGTGCAAACCTGGTAAAGACCTATAGTAATCATTTGACCTCTGTTATTGCCAACAAAGGTTATATTACAAAGTATTGAGTGTAATTTTTGTTATTGACCAAATACTTATTTTCCGGATTTTTTTTTATCACATTCTGTCTCTCACAGTTGAAGTGTACCTATGATCAAAATTACAGACCTCTGTCATTATTTTAAGTGGGAGAACTTGCACAATCGGTGGCTGACTAAATACTTTTTTGCCACACTGTACAAGCATGTGTTTGGATATTGTCACCACTTTTATGAGAAAATAAATATATTATAGTTTATGTAGTGACAAAAGATGTGGGTTGGCCTGGAATTACAGGGAAATTTGCTCTAAATGAAGGCAACAAGTCTGATTTTTTACAGTTACCATAGTTACCAGAGGAGATTTATTCAGCTGCCCTCCACCACGTTAAACGACAGGCACTTTGGGATGTTGTTATGTCACATGAACTCAAGTTATACCTCATTCTTCAGCTATGTGCAATCTCATGTAAACGACTCCAATATAATAATACTTTGTGTGCGTTTGTGTGAAAGAGAGCTGAAACACCGGACAATGAAGGATCCCAGCGAGACTTTCAAGCTCCAGGAATACGTCAGCAAAGAGATGAAGGGCGCGGGCTGCTGCTAGACTTTATGCACGCTATTCATACAACTCTATTCAAAGCAGATCCACCACTTTGTTCTGTCTTTCTGTCTTTCTTATCACAACACAGGCAACGGGACATGGCACAAATGGTGAAATCATAGCATGGAGACGTTGTGATCCATGCTGCTACTTCATCTACTGTTTACCACCAGCAAATACTTTTCGTACCGCCGTTTATTATTTTATTACATAGTAGGGAGTATAGCTTTATTTTCTGTACAGATACCAGGGGAGTTAGACAAGGACGCATTGAAGGAAAGGAAAAGAATCATCTGAGTGTCCTGGTGTCCTCTAAATGTTGAGCTTCATATTTAACTGGATGCAAAATAAATTCATAAATAAATAAATAGATACAAGTCATAATATATTCACTTGATTTATTACAAAAGTGAACGATGTTAACATGTGACTAATGAATACAATATGCATGTTGTAAAATGTGAAAATGATTTTGTATTATTAAATATGTGCGAGCTGTTTGACGTCATATAACTGTACATTAAGTATTGTGATGATGTAGCAGTTAGAGCGTATTGAATTAGCTTCACTGAAATACATTGGAAACCGGACGTTTATACACTGTAAAAAGACAGTATTTGAACTTAAACCTCTTACTTTGCAGAAACATAAAGCATTCAGCAGATTTACCTCTCTCCATATTGTAGCGTTGAGCCACTATTGATAATGTTGGTAATTTAGGTCAAACCATTCAACCTATGTTTATATTGACTTCCGGTTTCTATATGGACCAACGCAGCACACACATATATTTGTATCATGCTCAGATAATCGCTCTGTGTGTTCCTGTAATTATTATTATTATTTTTATTGTAACTTCAAATAAAAATATAAATACTTGTTTTTGAACACAATGTGATACTGGTAATGTGTTGGTACAGTGAGAGACTACATCTATAATAATACTGTTGAATTCAATTTGAAACTGCACTTTGTCATCTTTTCACGCTTTGCTAAAACTTTTCACACTTTAGCATGAGATTGAGGTTATGGAAAATCAGTTGTGCAAACATCTGTGATTGAATACATGAAAGATGGACAGTGCTATACTGTGGAACATATAAAGAAAAGTAATTATATATAATTCACGCTCCATAAATGATTGGGTGCTTTGCCCATGTTAGAAATTATAACTTGGTCTGGAAAAAACCTTCTTTGATGCACTGAAGAATTGCGTATGTCCAGTTGGTAAGTGCACACTCGCGCTCACCAAAAGCTGTTTAGGTTGACATAAATAATTCTGCTCAGTTCCCGCAAACTTCCTCTTTGTGCTATACCTTCAACACATCGGAAAGCAAAAAAAGCAACAATTTGATCACGACAAAGTGCTCAAAGTGTGACGTCTTTGAAGAGAAGGTTCAAGGCTTGTGTTTAAAATAGGCCTCCACTTCAAAAAGAAAACAACAGCGTTAGCGCCTCTGCTCACACAAAACAATTATTTGAGGTGATGAGTGACCTGTACCTGCGTATTCGTAAGGCAGCATGGGCCTCTCCATCACAGCCTGAATAGCGTCAATCCAAGCTCTGTGCTCTTTCTCCCCCTCACACGTCAACAGGAACTTTCTGTCCGGGGTTATTATTGTGATGCCAAACTGCCAGTGATATCCCTGGACGCCGGCCGGGAGCTTAGGAGCCAGGGTGTAGCCGTTGTCCCTGCTGCCTATGAACACCTCGCCCCTGGCATAGGCGTCCTACACGGGGGAGAATGCACTGGTGAGAGCGCTATCTTGTGGTGACGGTGCGTACTCTTGACTTGTGTTGTGTTTGCATGGGTTTCTCACCATGGGGTCTTTGAAGTACATAAGCCGCCTGTCGTCCAATGTAAACCATCTTTTCTTAAAACCTTCAGTATGCTGTTATATAATAATGTTTTTTTGCATTACCATTAAGGAAAATACAAAAATAATTATATGTCAAAATAATCTGTACCTTTGGGCCTGTTTTCTCCATGTAGCCCTCCTTTATAAAGTTCCTGGTAAGTTTTGGCAAGAGCTGCGGACATTTCAGAATTTCAGATATTCTGTTAACTGCAGGCCATTAATGATATTTTCCTTGTATGTATGTAAGTGAGTAAGTCATCTTTAGTCACACAGCGCATTTCACAAGCCATGGTCACACATACTTACTTACCTCAGTGATTGTGGCTATGGGAAAAGCCACCTGAAGATAGTGAAACCTCGCAGCTCGAATGGCGTTAAACCAGTCCACCATCTCCTAAGAGTTTAATATATATTACTTAGTGCCAGAGGAGCTACAACCCAAAAGTTACTAAAACAAAAGTACATGTTTGTGTGAATTCGGCAACGTAACAATCAAGATAACTTCTTTTGACAGAAGGTCTTAATTGCATATGTAAACTATTGCTTTCATATTTTAAAATGATGTCACTGTTGATTACGGTAAACAATTTTTCAATGTATAAATGTCATTATAAATAGCATTGTGAAAATAACCAGCAGAATAAAGCTTTTAAACTAAAACTAATTTTACAACTAAATTTGTTCCAACTTTTGCAAAGTAGATTTATTTATTGCACGATGAGTTGATATAGTCATTATTCATCATAGTCATTATTGGGACAGGCCTTAGTAACAGCTATATTAAAACCAGCACTATTAGCCTTGTCCACTAGAGGGCTTCGTGTTCACTTGTGATTCAAAGACATGTACAGATACCTTTCCATCTTCGTGATATACAAATATGTTTCTGGTGCTGTTGTCCTTTAGATAAGTGATCTGTAGCCCATGTGCAGTGCCAATTTTTGCGGGTTGAAAACAGGCATTGAGATTGTGAAACTTCATGATGGCCTTGGGCTCCTTATTAGCCTGGAAACAGAGATGAAGTAAAGTCATTACCCGAAGATCAATATTTATATAGTTCGTAATACTCACATCATTTTTGTTGAAGTACTTCAGAACACCCTCCCGTTCAGACAAGATGAACTTTCGACTGAGGTATTGTCCGTTATCTCGGCCACGTTTCCACAAAAAACCTTCTCTGTATCCTGCGAACAGATAAGAAAAGCACAAGACGTGGTATTTACACATATCACCTAAAAGGTAACATTGACAACAGATAGATATTTTAGTGTCCCTATAACATTGGTTGAAAATGTAATATTATTATTATTATCTTTATTTGTCAGACTCGAAGTCCGTAAAATACAAACACCACATAACAAACACAACAAACAAACACTTATAAAAGACAACTGTACCAGAGCTTCCACAGAGCTGACTGGTAGTGCACAGAACTCAATACATTCATATTAGTACAAAATAATATATTTGTTTTACAATTAATCACGCTTTTTAGCTACTAGTGTGAATGAGTTACTGTTGGTCCAAAACCCTAAAATCTATTAACGGTATAAGCTTCATCTTTGTGTCGTCATGAGAAAAACAATGCAAACATAAAAAATAAAAATAAAAATAGTTACTCCCAACACTGATGTCAATCCAGCAGAAAAATATAAAAAGCATGTCTTGGATAGTTCAAAGTTCAAAGTTCTGGTTTCCATTTCAATCCACTTGACATCGTTGTTCTGACATGTTTGTTGTCGCAGCAGTGTACTCCCACACCTACACTCGAATTTTAGGTTGACATAAATAATTCTGGTCTGTCTCTGACAACTTCCTCTTTGTGCTACAACCAGCCATCACACCCTAAAACTCAAACACCAAACTGACTTTCTTTTAGCTGAGAAAAGGAGCTTTCTTTCTCAATCTAGATCTGTGCATAATTGGATAATGCACACATAGATCTGTGTTATGAGGTTTATAAGGCTGAGAATGGGAACAGTAGAAGAAAGGCTTTCTAAATGGTTAAGCAATGTCTGGTTGTAAAACAATGATTACATCAGTTCTGTGGTACAATGCTTTCTTCGAACGCTGAGAGACAGTGCAGACAAGCACTCCTGTGTCTGAAGAATTATGATTCAAAAAGATAACGCGATTTTTGTACCTACTGTATATGTGCGGCTAAATGATAGAAACATATGGACAAATATGGATGGATTTATGTTGAAACTTCAATGAATTTAAAAAAAGAGCTCATTCAGACGCACTGTCCCAATGAGGCGAGCCTTTCATGTGAAATAAAAAAAAATGTATGTGGTGCTTTGGTTTTTTATGTTTGAGGAAATGGTCACTAAACAATGAATTTGAGCAGAGATACTGTAGATGATAAGATGTAGGAAATGCAGTGAGTAATTCTCATCTTAAGGATGTGAGTAATTTCAGAAGCAAGTGTCTAAAGTCTGTAACAGAAACTTGCTACACTAAAGCAAAATATATACATATTGATATAATTATCAAGCTCAAAGCTCTAAAGTGGGTGCTGTTGTTTTGTGTTTCCCATAGACTTGTCCTACCTGCAGAGTACGCTTCTTGCTTTTCCACATGGATAAACTCTTTTCTCTCATACTTGGCTCGGATCCATTGGTCTCGAAGAAGCCTGGAGAATTAGACTGGTTTATTCTACTTTTAAAAGTAGGGGATAAACTCAAAAAAAGGAAAACACTCATTAAAATCATGTAACCTTGTTACTTGCTACTTGAAAGATGTCGGGTTAGGCCGACATGTAGAGTATCTTGCAAAAGTATTCACCCCCCTTGGCTTTTTACCTATTTTGTTACATTACAGCCTTTAGTTCAATGTTATTTTAATCTGAATTTCATGTGATGGATCAGAAAACAATAGTTGGTGAAGTGAATTGAGAAAAATAAAATACATAAACATAAAATATACATAAAATTATTTTTTAGAAATTAAAAACTGGAAATTGGCATGTGCATATGTCTTCACCCCCTTTGTTATGAAGCCCATAAAAAGCTCTGGTGCAACCAATTACCTTCATAAGTCACATAATTAGTTAAATGATGTCCACCTGTGTGCAATCTAAGTGTCACATGATCTGTCAGCACATATACACACCTATTTTGAAAGGCCTCAGAGGCTGCATCACCTAAGCAAGAGGCACCACTAACCAAACACTGCCATGAAGACCAAGGAACTCTCCAAACAAATACTGGAACAGTGTTGTTGAGAAGTACAAGTCAGGGTTAGGATATAAAAAAATATCCAAATCTTTGATAATCCCCAGGAGCACCATCAAATCTATCATAACCAAATCCATCAAATCTATCATAACCCAATGGAAAGAACATGGCACAACAGCAAACCTGCCAAGAGACGGCCGCCCACCAAAACTCACGGGCTGGGCAAGGAGGGCATTAATCAGAGAGGCAGCACAGAGACCTACGGTAACCCTGGAGGAGCTGCAGAGTTCCACAGCAGAGACTGGAGTATCTGTACATAGGACGACAATGAGCCGTACGCTCCATAGAGTTGGGCTTTATGGCAGAGTGGCCAGAAGAAAGCCATTACTTTCAGCAAAAAACAAAATGGCATGTTTTGAGTTTGCGAAAAGGCATGTGGAAGACTCCCAAAATGTATGAAGGAAGGTGCTCTGGTCTGATGAGACTAAAATGGAACTTTACAGCCATCAAGGAAAACACCATGTCTGGCGCAAACCCAACACGTCACATCACCCAAAGAACACCATCCCCACAGTGAAACATGGTGGTGGCAGCATCATGCTGTGGGGATGTTTTTCAGCAGCCAGGACTGGGAAACTGGTCAGAGTTGAGGGAAAGATGGATGGTGCTAAATACAGGGATATTCTTGAGCAAAACCTGTAGCACTTTAGGGGGGTGAATAGTTATGCACATTGACGTTTTCTGTTATTTTGTCCAATTTGTTGTTTGCTTCACAATATAAAAAAGACATCTTCAAAGTTGTAGGCATGCTCTGTAAATCAACTGACGCAAATCCTCAAGCAATCCATGTTAATTCCAGGTTGTGAGGCAACAAAATGCCAAGGGGGGTGAATGCTTTTGCAAGGTAACATAGATGTGGAGTCTGCTGCACTGAAAGCTTACATGCAGTCTTTGTGTGATGGTCGGTAGTAAAAGGCTGGAACTTGCTTTTCATATTTGCTCCTGGCAGCATCATTTCCCACTGAGTTCATAAACTGGAAAAATAGACACATTTGGATTTTGTCATTTGTATTGTTATAAAGAGGGATAGAAGCATTGATGGAGGTTTTGTTTCCATGTGATCACTGACCTCCACTTCAGCCGGACGCCAGGGATCAAGCAGCACAGACTTCACCTTACTGATCTGGGCAATGTTCCGATGGAGCCCAGAACAACTCTGACACACAAATATGCCCAGTGTGTAGGACGCCCACTCGGGATCTGAAGAGAAAAATTGAAAATTGCATTCATTTGAGTTGCAATGTTATACAGTATATGGAATCAAATATCAAAAACATTTAAAAAAGGTTGCTAATTGCTGCACAACTCTCCATACAGTTAGTATGGAGTCTATCTTTCACTTTCATCTTACCATCTCGTTATCGCAGTCTCTTATTGCACTATTGTTATGTGTACATTTTAGCAATAATATTTTAGCTATTTCAATTAAACTTTTGACCCTTTTTTTCGATTGTAATTTGTGCTTGTTTAGGCTACCATGTCCAAGTAATATGCCTTGTGGATCAAGACGGTTTGTATAATGAAGAGCATTGAAAGAGAAGAACGATATCTACAATAGCACATTGCGATGTGGTTTCCTGCTGTATGTGCATCTGTGCAGAGACGAGGAACTCAGCTGTAACAGCAGTCATCATTCACACCTTAAAACAGAAACGTATTAACTGCAACTGCTTTCATTTTCAATATAAATATTAAATGTAGCCGCAGACAATTGTAACAAAAGCAGGCTCAATCTACCCTTCTATATAAAGCCTGTAGGTACCAATGGTTGTCAGTCTGACCCTATACGCGGACAGGTCAAAATGTCAAATGTGCATTTGTGCTCGTGGTGCTGTAACATAAAAGACAAACTCAAAGTGGAGTTACCTGGCGCTGCGCAGTCTGCACACAAGTTGTTGCCAGTTTTCCTAAGAAGTTGTTTAATGCGCTGCTTGTCTTGGTCTGAAGCCATAGTTCTTCACAGTGGTTCAAACATATTTCTGCTTTAGAAAAACGTGTTCCATATCAAACCTCCCACTTTCTTTTGAGCGAATGCAGAACTGTTGAACAAGATGTGACCTTCAGAGACCCCCAGTGGCTGTTCTGCTCCTAGCTCCTGATTCGTGTTTGGCACAAGCTCCATCCTTCAACTAAATGTTTCCCCTGGATATCTATTCAGTTCGTCATTACAAATGTTCTTTATAAAATGGAAGCAAACAATCAGACCACAACAAATACTTAAAATAACAGTGTAGAGTAAGAAACTTACCCATTTAATGTTTAAAAGTCTAAAAGGAATCCATAAATTCATAAAAAGAACATTTTATTAAGGAATGAATAACTTGAAACATAGTCTGAAACACACATTTTCAATGAGCATTTCCCCTGTTGTAAGGTAAAAGACCATGGCTAATAAGACAAAGGACTTTTATTTAAAAGAAAAGCAATCACATAGTTAAAGGGGGTATTCCTGGGCATTTATGAAAGCTCTCAGCAGAGTTTTAAAGACTCTATCTGGAGGAGTTGGAACTGGAGCGAGAGCGATGACGCCGGCGGCCTGCAGACCTGGAGCGAGAGCGGCGGCGGATTGGGGAGCGCCTCCTTGGAGAGCGAGATCTTTAAATAACAAAAACAGACAGAAGTTACGAAAGTCAAGACCAAACACTGAGGCCAAAGAACTGAAACACCTACCGCCTTCTCATGCGCGGGGGGCTGCGGCGCCACATTGGCGGTGGCGGGGGCATTCTTCGTGGAGGAGGTGAAAACCTACGAGGTGGTGGCCGGAAACGCTGAGGCAACACTGCTTGTGCAGTTATTTCTTGTCCATCAATTTGGCCTGTTAAAACCATTACAATAAGAAAAAGCCTTAAAGTAACTGTTGTTGTTTCCACATGGTTGTATTTTACCTCCATCCATGTGTTTGAGTGCTTTCTGGGCCTCTTCTGGCGTCTCAAACTCTACGTAGGCAGACCCCTTGCTGATATGAGGATGACCTCTGTCCATCATTAAATCCACCATTTTGATTTTGCCATAAGTTGAAAAAATCTCCAGTATGTGATCCTGCATTAAAAGAAAAATGAATGATGCATGTTAAATCCAGACATTGCTCATCTAGAAGTTTTTCTTTACTGACCTTTGTGACATTTCTTGTCAGTCGACCTACATGAACCTTGGTTGGCTTTGGGGTTGGGCTTCTTTTTCGCCTTTCCTTCTCCTCAGTTTTCTTCTGTGTGTTTGCCCTATTTAAACATAACTTATTTTTTCAACATGTTTATACAGACAGAAACATGAGAGATGGAAAATACTTACGCTGAATTAGACCTGTTTCGGTTGTTATCATGACGTCTTCGGCTTGGGCTCGGCGACCCAGACGAGCTGGAAGATGATGAAGAACGAGAGCTGGAGGAGCCAGATGACCCAGATGAACTGGACCCACTGGAGGAGCCTGAGCTAGAACCAGAGCTGCTACTTGAAGATGAGCTGGACCTTGAACCAAAACATTAAAACAATGTTTACAGCGTATCAAGTAATCACCAAAAATATAAAACGAGTTCGAGATCAAACCTGCTGCTGCTGCTTCCAGTAGAAGCACTGCGACGTTTCCTCATTTTGTCTCGTCCACGTTCTTTGTCTCCATCCTTAACAGTTTTTTCCTTTCCCTTTTCCTTAGTTTTTTCGTCATCCTTACGCTTTGTCGGAGATGGGGCCCTGGAAATAATCAAAGACGTATTTACTGACGTATATTTCATAAATTGTAGCAAACGCTGTTGTTCATCGGAAATGAATAAATTAATAAAAAGCCACTACACTGGAGTGTCACAAGTAAAGTACTTATGTGTATCTATAAAAAAGGACAAACAAATCGAGGACGGCTTAGCGACAATTCATTCAGCGCTCTCGGGTTAAGCAACATGTCGATGGATTGTACGAGTGTTGTGATTACTGAGCTAGGCTTCAACGCTAAAATGCAAAACAAAATGTTATTCTTGTGGCGCAGAATTATCATAATGATGATTTCGTCAACTGAGTGTTTATTTCTACTTACATGTTGTTCTTTCTTTCGGTGGTAAACGCTTGTGCTCAAGGCGTCGCTCAGTGATGACGACAACCGGAAGTTACGTAGCCAAATAAGCGCCACATACAACATCAACACATCTCTCTGCTGTTTCTGTACTTCAGCTGCTGCCTGAGCAAAAAGGAATAGTCTCTGATGGTTTCTTCTCTATTTTAACAATTCAAGATATTTTAATAAGTCAAGATTCCAAGAGTCCAAGCGTTTTGTGGTAAGAGCCGTAGATGATGGATATTTGTTTACTTTAGTCTTTTTACCCCGTTTGCTATGTTTATTCCTTTTATTTTATTTTATTTTTTAGTTTGTCTCTGAAGCAACCAACTAAAATCTTGACGTGCACTTGTGTGCCTTTAATCTTAATCGATTTACTAATTTAGATTAAATATTGGGCATTCAATTGCTCAGCTCAACGTGTGGTGTGTTCAAGTAACAGTACAATAGGCATTATGTAAACTCTAAATGTTAACATTTTTTCCCAGATCATTATTTTATAGTGATTAGTCCTTTTTAGTGGATATTCTTGTATATCGTCACCACATAATAAATAATAAATAATTATACTATGGTTGATATGTACCGTTAAAAGAAAATGTTGAACTTTGTGAGTGTTTTTGCTTCATGTGGATTGGCTACTAAGACTTGGAAGTGTAGGATTTGTAGGGTTCCCACCAGCGATGTTTTATCTTCCTCCACAATGTTAAACTTTAGGCCCTTTGTAATGTTGTGATGTCACATGAACGCAACTATATTGAAATGTTATTGTTCAATAGGATACCATGGGTCGTCTTGATGAGGCAGCCAAAGTGAAAGTTGTCGAGCTTCGAAAGGCTGGACTGAGTTTCCGTAAAATAAAAGCTGAACTGGAGAGAGAGAACATCCAGGTATCGGCACAAGCAATTTTTTTGTTTTTGAGAGAATTTCAGAGAAAAACTCCTGGACACCCTTTGGAGATGGGAGGCCCAATAATCCCTCAGTCTCGCGGCATGACAACTCCAGAAAAGTTTAGTGACATTCAACTTCAAAACCTCATATGGATATCCTCCCAACAGTCACAACATTCTAATTTATTGGCAACATCTCCAAATTCAAGCAGTACTAATCCCACAGGGTCATCAGGAGAATGTGGTGGTAGTAGTATTAGTAGTAGTTGTAGTAGTAACATCAGCTCTGGGCTGGCATACAACGAAGACAGTGACCTTCAGATTGTCAGTGTCACTTCTCTTGCACAGAGAAATCTAAATGTTCAGACCCCGATTACAAGAACTGCCTCAAGTGTTGCATGTTCCACTGGAGCAGTTACCGCACCATTAACAACAAGAAGAAGAGTCAGTCCTTCCCCTTCTACAAACCCAATGTTGGCTGCACGTAAAAGAATTTTGGATAAAGCCCTCTCACACAGAATAAAGGTATATTTTAATTAATTTAAATTCCAATTCACGTTATATGTCATCATGTATCTTTGTAGTCTTTCCAGCAGATGGCATCACTGTTAAGAAGAGATCAAACTACTGTTCAGGGAGCTGGTCTGAGAAATCCTCTTCAACAACCATCCAACACCTATAATTTAAATGAAAGGGTGAGACATTGCAATACCAAGGCAATATTTGTGAACAATCATCTAATGTACACTATGCACTATACTTATTTCCAGGGTGCAATTGAAAAATCAGCTGAGGGATTAGGAGGAACCTCAGCTTTGCGTTTTTCAGTTCCAAGACCAAGTGCATTTTCACGCTCACCCCAGCAGCCTCCTCCTCGCGTTGGAATTCGTCTGCCAAGTCAGTCTGTGGGTAACTCGGCACCTGGGATGTCGAATTTACGACTGCTAAATCCGCCTAGCAGCCACTCCACAACTAACCACAAAGAGGGGAATTGTAGCCCACAACAAACTGTCCAGGAATCAAGAGTACGGGCTATTGTCCAAGACCAGATCCAGACCTTGAGCTCTGAAGTGCACAGCCTGGCAGGGGCAGTGAAGATGTTGGTCGAACAGCAATCTCGTTTGGAGCGGGAGCAGGCGCAGCAGACCAACATTCAGAAGCAAATTCTTAGCACTCTTCAGACTATGTCCTCCAAAATGGGATGTTGTGGCACCGTTCAACACCAGCAAAAATGCCACTCACCTGCTGCTTTGAAGTCTACCTCTTTTGACCAAGACTCTTTTGCTTGTAGCCAAAGTACATATACACAGTGCAGCGAGTCCCAGCCAAGCTTTAACTCCATAGACACTTTGGAAACAGTGGAACCTTTTAAACTTCCAGAGCTTAGTCCCACCAGCATGAATGGGTTTGCAGCATGTAGCAGCACAGAGACACTTCCGCTCATCACTTCACCTCTGTATGCACAGCAGAACACTCAAACCCACAATGCAGGATTCACACAAAGTTATGTTTCTGCATACAGTCAAGCTAATAATTCGACTTTTGCAGATAATAAATTGATTAATTTTCCCCACAGCTGTGCAATAAGAAGCTTTCAGGACTGTAATATTTCTACTGAGGCAGTTTTATCCATGAGTGATTCAGTTCAGGATCAGGTGAACAACATAAAAGTGGAAGGACCTTAACACGCCGCAGCCTATGACATGTGGAATTGATTGTGTACATACCTTATTGCAATACTGTGACTACATTATATGTGTATCTTTTGTAATTTTACTATTATAAAATGTGGGTTTTTAACTTAGCTCACTTATTGGAGAGAATGTTAGGCATCGACTGCAACAGACAACAGAATTGTTGTATCCTAGAAAAGCTGCGGCCTACAGAAGCTAATCACCAGCAGGTATGAAGTGAATCATGCATTCTAAAAGATCTAATCAGGCCAACCTTATCATTAAAATGTGAATCAAGTAGACTAGCAACATAAGGTGGCTCTTCATGAGTATCATTAATGCTAAGGCTGCACAATGTATTAAAAAAGTTTATTGCAATATTGGTGTACAAAAATGCTACGTATAAATCATTTGCCTATTTGAGGAATGCCTACTTTTGTTACAGAGGCAAGAAAGAAAAAAATGCGAGCAGCGTTCTTTTATCACACAAATTTATTAACTTTGGTAAGGGAAAATATTGCAATATACTGTATATATCATTACGCACTTATTTCCAGTATTGTGCAGCCCTAATGTATGTTTTTAAGAGCGAACAGTTGCACACAGCTTATGTTGTGATGGGGTAAGAGTGAAGCCCAAAGAAGGAGTCAACAGTAGGTCCTCTTCTCTAACTCCAGGAGCCGGAGTGAAGTGAAAGCGCTGAAGAAGGGTCGCAAAGATGAGGAACAACTCCATCTTGGCCAGTCCCTCTCCCAGACATGCTCGACGACCTGCACAACCACAATTTATATTTACATATAAATATGTACGTACAGTGGCTCTCAAAAGTATTAATACTTTGGACATTTTGTCATGGTTACAACCATAAACATTTTATTTCGATTTTTTTGTTGAAAGTTCAGAGTTACAGACAACTGTGAAGTGAAATCAAAATGATGGATGATTCTGAGCTTTTTCAAAAATTAAAATACAGGAAAGATAGTATTCATACAGCATTAGTTTATACTTTGTGGAACCCCCTTTTGCTGCAATAATAGAAAGTATTTTAGGGTATAAGTCAACAAGATTTGTAGAAGTTTATCCCATTCCTCTTTACAAAACAACTCGAGCTATAAATGGAGAGCATTTGTGAACAGGTCTTTCCACATATTTTCTGTGATTTAAGTCTGGACTTCGACTGGGTCATTTTAACACATCAATATGTTTTGTCTGTGGGCAGGTGAATCTTTGCCCCAGCCTCAATTCTTCTGCTGACACTATCCATTATATCCATGTATTTGACTCCATTCATCTTCTAGATATTCTTAAATCTTCCCAGCCTCTGCTGCAGAAAAGCAGACCCTTAGCATGATGCTACCCCTCACTCTATTTGACACTGGGAATGGTGCGGTGAGCAATGTTAGGTCTGTGCCATACATACCGTTTTGCATTTGGGCCAGAAAGTAACTTTTTTGTGTCATTTGACCAAAGCATGGTAGCTGTGTCACTCATATGACCTCTGGCAAACTTTCAATAATGGTTGTTTTCTTCTTTCCATAAAGGCCAAATTTGTGTAGCGTTCGACTGATAGTTGTACTTCGCAGCTCCTCCAGAGTCATTGCTTGCCTTTTTGACCAGTATTGACCTCGTTTGATCTTTTAGCTAAGTTGGACTGCCGTCTCTTGGTAAGTTCACAGTGGTGCTATACTCTTTCCATTTCCAAATAATGGATTGATACACTCTTAGGCCCTCACAGAACAGCTGTATTTATACTGAGTACACACAGGAGGCCTCAAATCATAAAGGCAGGGTGTGGACATTGCTGGTATTAGAAATGTTAAAAACAACTGTGTGGCCAAACCTACATGTAAAAGCTAGATCCTGTCAGATCTCTGTGGCGAAGCAGCATAGGGATGGTAATTACTGTGATGACAGACCTCTGGAACAGCAGGTGCCACAGAGCAGCTGTGGCTAAAGTAGTAGTAGTAGTATGTAAAACGTCTGTGTCCAAAAAACGCTTTATAAAACCAATGCATTATTATTATTATTATTAATTAGTACTATTTAATACACTCTAAAAACAAAAATCTGTATGGATGCATGCACACACACACTTTTTCAATTTCTATAATAACAGAATTTTATATCATTTTACTTTCACTTCACGGTTGTCTGACTAAAAATTCTAAATAAAATCTTTGTGCAATGTGCAAAACTTCAAGCTGTATGAATACTTTTGAGAGGCCCTGTATGTTACTGTATATGTAATATAAAAACAATTGTTACCTGCAGAGAAGGGAAGAAAAGCATCTTTCTTGATGAATTTACCCTCTTCGTTCAAGAAATGAGAAGGATTGAAAGTGTAAGGGCTTTCCCATTCATTCTCATCATACAGCACCGAAGCCAGGAGTGGAATTACAACCGTATCCTAGAGATGAGCACCTTGTCAAGTAGGATATATAGATATTTAGCAGTTTTACCATCATCACAAATAACAAACCTTTTTCATGAAGTAGCCATGAAAGGTAAAATCTTTGCTAGTTTTGTGAGGAAGAGACAGAGGCAAAATGTTGGAAAACCTCAGAGTCTCATGTATGACTGCATTAGTGAATGGTAGGTTTTTCCGGTCGTCTACGCTGATTCTGCGACATCCAACTTCTCTCTTTAGCTCTTGGTGGACTTGCTCTGAAAGCACAAGTGTATAAGGTGCACTTCAAACTGGTGGTGGGTCCAATACCTGTGTTTCCATGTTCTAAAGTTTATTATGGTCTTCATGGCAAAGCATTGTGCAAGCAGCAAATGCCCTACAATCTGACAATCCCATCAAGTAATTGTACCTGAATGCAGTGCAAATAGCAGATACAATCACTGAAGTGTTAAAACTTTGGACATTAGACAACATTAGACATTTTCTTCAATATTGTTATCCAGATCAAGTGGTAATACTTTGTGCAAGAGTAAATTGTGTTATAAGCAATGACACGTTTTCATCCGGCTGTAGAACAACCTACAGTAAATGAAAGTATGTGGACACCCCAAGTTACGATCTTGGTGGTCTGTTCAGAAAGAAAGCATCTCTTCAACTGTGACTTTGTACACACACAATTAATAATAACAGAACAATGAAAAAGAAGTCAACTTGTTCTTACCCTGAATGTGTGGATATTTGATCATACAGAGTAGTCCCCATCTGAGTGTTGCCGCAGTAGTGTCTGTGCCAGCAGCAAACAGGTTGGTTACAGATATGGTCAGATTTTTCTCATGGAAATATGTATTCTGATTCTGCAGATCCTAATGATATAAGAAAAGTTAATAAATAATAAATAAACACAAATCAGTTGGCAATTTAATATATATTCTCCAACTGTTATGCTGATACAAACCTCATCTTTTTTCTTGCGCATCAGAAAGCAATCGATAAAACCGCGAGATGACTCAGGGTTTAATGTTGCATTTAAACTAGTGATTAATTTATGGACATCACTAATTGTCTTGTCTGCATTGGACAACATCTGTTTTCGGTTATTTCCCCAACAGAACAGCCTGGGAAACATATTGTATAGCTGCAATGAGAAGTAGTAAGACAGATTTGCTTAGTGAAAGTCCCTAGCTTCATGAAGTGTGTTATTAAAATGTAATTACCTGTATTGGTACAGAAGCAGAAAGCCGAATGTTTTCATTGGCTCTTGCCACTAGGTTTTTAAATCTTAGATCGGTATATTGAAACCTACTTCCGTACACAATTGATGAGATGATGTTTGATGTGGCATGGTTGACAGCCCGTGTTGTATCAAAAGGTTTCCCTACAAGAGAAGAAATGAGACTTACTGCGTGTTCATGATAATACATGGATTTTGTAAAACGCTTTTCAGAAAAGGAAGATGGGACGCTCACTACTTAGATGCATACATATGCACATACAGTACATACGCATGCATACTAAATAGAAAGAGTAGTGTTAGTTAAGAGTGACAGGCTTGAAGGAAAATGTTTATAGCTGTTTTGCGTTTAGATGCTGGTGAGGCACAGTCTATGAAATACACAGTCACAATACCTTTATGCTTTTCAAACTCTTCAACCAGATAGTGACACTCTTCAGTGATTTTTTCCTCTGCCAGTCTTTTGCCCATTCCAAAGTCCCTCAGTGTGGTGAGTGCAAACCTTCTCATCTCTCTCCATATTTCTCCATTGGAAAAAAGAATCCCTAAAAATTTTATAATTCAATACAATCATTACAATTTGAGTACGTATATAGCTTAAGTATAAACATAATGGTCAAGGTGGATAAAAACAAATATTTATATATCATCACAAGTTATATATATATACAGTAGGAGGCAGCAAATAACAGTAGTGCACAATGGCTGGTGTCTCTCAGAGAGGAGCCCAGCCACCTCCCAGAACAGAACTCAGTTACCATTACAGAGGCAGACATTCGAGAGTCTCAGGTATGAAAAACTGGACAGCACCTTGCTCTGATATGGTTCATGCCTACTGGCTAAGGACACGCACATCACTCCATGAGTGCCTATAGCAGCACAAATGAACCAGCTGCTGAAAGATGAGACTCACCCAGGATGGCTAACCGAAGGGCGAACGGTCCTGATCATGAAGGACCCTGTGAAGGGTGCAGTCCCCTCTATACCGGCCAATAACCTGTCTCTCCACAACATGGAAGCTCATGTCAGGCATCATTGCGGCTAAGATAAGTGGGTACATGGAACAATTCATGAGCACAGCATGAATTACAGCAAGGGCATTGGTAGAGATACCAGAGGAGTCAAATACCAACTCCTGGTTGACAGAACAGTCGCCCAAGACTGCTTGTCACGACACACCAACCTGTGCACAGCCTGGATTGATCACCAGAAAGCCTACGACTCAATGCCACACACATGGATCATGGAATGCTTGAAGCTGTACAATATCAACAGGGCTCAAAGAGACTTTGTAGCAAACTCAATGGGGATGTGGAAGACCACCCTTGAGGCAAATGGCAACCCACTCGCACAAGTGACCATAAAATGTGGTATCTAGGAGATGCTCTGTCCCCACTACTGTTGCATAGGCCTGATCCTTCTAAGCCTATTCAACCAGACTGGCTATGGATACCGCCTCAGGAACAGAGGAAAGATCAGTCACCTCCTCTACATGGTTGACCTCAAGCTGTACACCAAGAGCAAGAGAGGCATCGACTCTCTGATCCAAACCACCAGGATCTACAGCCATGACATCGGGATGTCATTCAGACTAGAGAACAGGATGTAACAGGATGGTGACTCGGAGAGGCAAGGTAGTCCACACAGAAGGGATCTCACTCCCAGAGGGAACAATAGCAGACATTGAGAACAACTACAAGGTACATTTTCTTACGTTGTTCTTCACTTTTTTAATTAAATGCGTTCAGCAGTGACTGGCTTCTTTTGAGACGTGTTATCCCTCTGTTTAGTTGTTATTGCACCACTGTTATTGATTAGTAATCAATACAGGTCATTGATATCTAATCGGTGACATTTAGTGACCAAAACTAGTATTGTGTAGACAGTAGAATATAAAACAAAACAAAGTAAATTTAATCTTTATTTATATAGCGCAGGTGTATCGCAGGCTATGCAAAAGTAAATTATGATATTCACAAGAGTGGGGTATAAGAATTTTCTTCCTCCCACTCCTCGAGTTTGAATCATGTACAATATTGTAGTAAGTAATGGTCAATGAATGATTTGCTTGAAAATTCTCTATAGTAACATCTGATAATTAATGTTTGATGTAAATAAACACTCAACCCAACGTCCAGGTCCGGCTATACACATGCAACAAGTTTCCAGTGACCCAGTGGGTGTCTGTCTATTGTTGTAGAATTAAAATGTTGTATACTAATGATTTTAAGTAGGTGTTTGTATAACATCTTTGTGCAATATTAAAGCCTGGATTTAGTGGAATTCAGACAAGCACCAAGGACAAGGCTTCTGTGATAAAAGTATCATTTTCAGGAACAGCGTGTCTCTCTTAACGGAGAGAGGGCCTGAGACACAAAACTGGACTAGGCTAGACTGGGACCAGCCTCAGACCATATGACGTCATCGGACATTCTGATAAAACTGTTGGGAGGACACATTTGTGGGCAGTCGGAGCACAGGGATAGATTTAGGGAATAGCTCCAAGAGTTCTGTATCAACATTTAATTGTAAAGAGAAATAAATGTTCTATTGTAACTCTTGAAATCTTGGCCTTATTTCTGTACCAAATTCTGAACACGTCAGTCAAATCATTTTTTGACAACACTACCAGTCCTTCACTTACAAGGATATTACAATATAATATGATAAAGTACGTATAAAGTCCTACCGTGACCCTGAGTGAGGTCCTGAAAGATTGGAGGGCAATCTCTGTCACCAAATTCTTCCGGAAACCCAACCAGGGCATCTTTGACCGTCTTAAATCCGGCTAGGACCACAGCTTTGTTGGGTCCAAAGTAGATTGTGAAGATGTTCCCATATTTCTTTGACATCTAAAGAGGTATAAAAAGTATTATGTAAAATAATGCATACAATAAACAAATGCATCTACCTCATGAAGAGAGACATGTGGTCTATTCAGATCAAGCTGTGGCAGGTTGCCAAGCAGGGGCCATGGCCTGGGTCCTGGAGGCTCTTTCCTCAAATCCCCAGCTCTGAGGCTGTTGTTTATCAACCACAGAACCAGAATGAGAGCTATGGTTCCCAACAGATAGGTGGGACTGGACAACACTGAAGCGTAATCCATCGGAAAAGTTGCCTCCTCTGCTTCAGCTGCTGCTCTTAATTAAACAGATCTAGAACGTCGTTCTAAAACATGTCCCCGCCTGGCAGAAGAGTAACTCCCACTTCCAGGACAACCCCCTGGGGACCTGAATCCCTCTGCAATGTTAATGCATGGAGCAGTGCTTACTTACCTTACAATCAGAGACTCTCAAAACATGTGGGAAATCCTCTCCCCAGTGGTGAATACGATTTAAAGAAGTTTGTGTAAGCCCTCAGTCGTACAGGGATTAGTCAAAGCAAAGGAAGGTTTCTCACCCATCATCTGTACTTCTTAGCAAGTTTTCCCAAACTTTTTCCCAAACTTGCTAAGAAGTATAGATGATGGGTGAGAAACCTTCCTTTGCTTTGATTTAAAGAAGTATTAGTTTGAAATCTCAAAGGATGAGCAAGTGTAGCATATTTTCTTAGTTCAAATGACTAAGGATTCGAATCAATTACGGCTAGTTATTTCATATGATATAATGTGTTATTTGACACTATTTCACTTACACTAGAGTGTGTTCTGTCAAATAATTGAAAACTGAAATGCAGTAAAGATTATTCATTGTTTGTAGGTTAGTCTGAAACTAGGTCAAAGGACACACTAACCTCTACATTCCTCTCATAGCCATAAGGTGAAAAGCCCTCATGTCAAACGAACATTACACTTTTATAGTGGGAAAAACACATTATTGTAATTATATTATGACAGAACATACTCTCTACCAGAACTGAATGTTAGACACAAAAGACGCAGACCTAATCCTCAATCCGGTCAAACCAGTTATACAGTAGTTATTGGTACAGGCTCTGTTAGAGAAAACAGAGCATTCAAGAGAAAACATTTTCAAATAGGTTGACATTTGCATGGCCAGAAATATAACAACCAGTTTTGGTGCCAGAATTGTGAAACACATAATTAGGGCTGAGATGATTAATCAAGTTTATTGAGTTTATCAAATGAAATGAATCAATATAGCTTTGATTACTACTTACTGTACTTCAAACTGTATGAAACCATTACACATCCCGGCACTTGTCTCTGCGATGTGCAAACATGGATGTCAACAAACTGATTTAGTTAATATAAAATACATCATAGGATTATTTACTTTCAATTCATCTTATTTTTTATGAAATGTAAATGAATTATGCTGTAAACACTGTACAATTTAAAGGGTATCTTTGGTGACATGCAAAAAGTAAAACAATGTAGTTCCTGTTGTAGAATTTCTATAACGGATAAACATGAGAAGTGTTGAATCACAGCAGACATGTAATTAAGTGAGTACTAGAGAATACAAAGAATACCACATATACAGTAAGTCCAATCCAAATAACTGGTGGATCAGGACATCAAAGTTGCACAATGTAATGTAGATTAAAGTTTCATGATGATTACAGAGCTATTGGGTAATTTATAACTGACAGGGTCATCGGACCTTGGTCACTGCCGTACCCACGAAGATGATATATATCTGAGTGCACTGCAAAAAGTCCCCTGCTAGAGACAAGAAAAAAATAACACAAAAGACTACATTTTTGCTTAATGTAAGCAAAAAAATCTGCCAATGGGGTAAGATTTTTTTTCCTTGTCTTGTTTTAAGATTTTTTTCCTAATGTATAATGGGAAAACATTTCTGGATTTAAGCAATTTTCTTCCAATAAAAAAGGTCAGATTTAAGCAAAATATTCTTTGTATTGGATAATTTTAGGAAATAATGCTTAAATAAATGATTAATTAAGGATACATTTGCTTGTTTTCTGCTCTTTTTAGCAGACTTTCTAATTTTAGACTGGTTTTAACCAAAATTGGCTTAATAAGCAAAATAATATAAGCAATATATATTGTTCTTATTTTAAGATTTCTTGTTTTTTTTTTTTTTTTTCTTGAATTAAGAAAGAGAAGCCTAAGTAAGTAATTGTTGCTTGTTTTGGATCCAAATGTAACTTTTTAAAGCACATTTTTCTTAATAAGAAAAAGCTAGAATTAATTTCTAAAAATAAGAATTTTATTCTTAAGGAAATTTAGCTAATAAGATAATTTTTCTTTATATACAAAAAACATTTTTTTTTTTTTTTTTTTTCTTATTTCAAGATTTTTTTACTTGCTTAGAATTTACTTTTTGCAGTGTGTGGACTGAGTTGGAACAGCTGGAAAGCTGAGCCAAGAGACTTGACTAAAATCTGAGCAGTGGATGGAGATCTTTTGCAGTTCAGAGTGTGGCTCGGGCTCTTGAACAGGAGAAAATCCACTCCTGGATTTGAACCCTGGTCGGAACAGGGCCTTTCTGAGTGGAGTTTGCATGTTCTCCCCGTGTCTGCGTAGGTTTCCTCCACGTACTCCGGTTTCCCCTACCGCTAAAAACACGTACAATAGGTCTGGCATGTGCCTCCTGTACTGGCGACCCCGCTCCCGTGTGGATTGAGAGACAAATGCCCACAATTGTAAACCACTTTGTGACTCTGGTCTGTGAAAACCTTTTTCATTCAAAGCAATCACATCACCAGCTGAAACTGATACAACAATGCAAATTCCTCAAAGTGTTTCTATAGAACATCAAAAACTGCAGTAGTCTTCATGATCCTCCCACATCATTTTCTTTTCACACTAGTTTGACCAATGAGATGATATTGGCTCATTTCCAAAGGCACTGCTAACAACCTCTCAAAGCACTGACGGGCCACAGACACTGGTAGAAAAACACTGCACCACACCACCTGCGTAAAACCAGGCGTCTGAACATAACTTCAAATATTGTAATTAACTTCCAGTATTGATGGCAATATGTTAAAAGGGCTTACATGACATTTTATACCAGATTTTAAAGTTTATTTCCCCAAGAAAACAACCATATAAATAAACTGGGAAAAAAATACATGACTGGCATGTCAGTCTACAATTAAAAGCCTTCGTCAACTTCGCCCCAGTTTTGGTGCAATCCAAACAAACAGTAACTGAATTAATGTTGTTCATCATGAACTACCAAAAAAAAAAAAAAATACTGTTGCTTTTTTTAGACAGAAAAGTAAAAAAAGCAAGGACCACTCTTTCCCAGCCAATGCATCCCTCTCAGAAGCTTCTCTGATTTGATCCTGTGCTCTGAACCACACCATGCCAGACAAAATGGACCTTTCCAGTGTGTACAGTGTATGCACATACAGTAGATAATAGATCTTGTTTGATATGTGTATAACCTGAGTCTCGTTTCTCCTTTTATTCAGCTGTAATGTGTGATCCCAACATTTCCCCACTGAGGGAAAAATAAAGTTTCTATCAACAAGAAAGAGGGAAGGCAGTATAGCACAGTATAGCACAGTACAGCTCAACCCAGTCAAACACACGCCACCATGACAGTGATTATGGGCGGCACGGTGGTTGAGTGGATAGCACTCTCACCTCTCAGCAAGAAGTAAGTAAGAAATCTTTATTTATATACCACCTTTCACAGACCAGTCACAAAGCGGTTTACAATGTTTTTAGTGGTAGGAGAAACCAGAGCACCTGGAGGAAACCTACGCAGACACTGGGAAAACATGCAAACTCCACTCAGAAAGGCCCTGGTCCGACCGAGATTCGAACCCAGGACCTTCTTGTTGAGAGGCGAGAGTGCAATCCACTCAGCCACCGTGCCGCTCCAGGAGGTCCGGGATTCGAATCCCGCTTAGAACGGGGTCTTTCTGAGTAGAGTTTGCATGTTCTCTCCGTGCTTGCGTAGGTTCCCTCCGGGTACTCCGGTTTCTCCTACCACTAAAAACATGCACACTAAGTTAAACAGTTCAGCTCCAGTAGTCTGGACCAAGCCGAGCATCAACATCTGGAGATTGGTTCCTGGGCACTGTTATTACGGCGACCACATCTCCTGACGTAAACCTTAGCAGCATCAGGATGGGTCAAATGCAGAGGATTAATTGCCCTACGGGGATCAATAAAGTGCGCCTTTACCATAAAACAGCTGGTTTCATCAGCATCTAATTACCACTATATATCACTGAACATGTCCCTGCAAAAAGACTAGGTGGAAGGTGGGTCTGAAGGCAACGGCAACATCAGTGTAAACAAAAAACAGGGGTTTTGGTCGGTGAGAAAAGGTCTATTACCACACAGAGCATGGAATTTAAGTAGAAAACATTAACAATACTGTACAGCCGTTTAGGATGGATGAATATTGAATGGTTTGGTTGTATGATTGTAGCGCCCTCACTGACAGCACATTGAGAGTCAAACAAAAAATATACACAAACAACAAAGCACTTTTAGTAGTGAATATTAATAAACAATGTATCCAATTGCATATAGCATGGTTTAATTAAAAAGAAAACAATATTGAATATCAGCTCGATAGTACATGACAGCATAATGCAATAGAATGCTCTAAATTCCCTTTGGGTACATTGGTATCAATAAAAGCAGCATCATAACTCTGTGGCTTCTTCTGCATTGCATTATTTTCCATACATATATAGTGACACTACACATTGAAAAAATAAAATCAAGTAAGCCCCATTTTAAGGAATGTTAGTGTTGTTTACAGTGTTAAAAATTAGCAATGACATTTTTGTTAACCGTTACGTCTGTTAACCAAGACGTACAGTGTCGTTCTTGTTTGTTTGGATAGTTTGAAACTACAGAATCATTCACAGAAGGGTTCACTTTTTACATTCACATATTTTACTTTGTCAAGCCTAGAAAACAAACTAAATATTGTGCAAAAATGATGATCATTTATAGAAATTAAAACCGGTAACGCATTATCTTTGCATGTCTATTTACATCTAAAACTTATCGTGTTCAGTAAATAGGAAAAACATCAATAAGGCAACAGTGTGCAATGATTTGAATTAAAAATATAAAATGGAGTGGTTCCTTAGATTGTGGTGATTGGTCATATAAACACATAAACGACAAACTCAATCAAGTCATAAAATGATAAATAACATAAAGTAAACTCTTAAAAAACAGTAGTAGTTAAAGTGCAGTAGGCAGTCTGTCCATAAGTCCCACTGCCTTCAAACATCTTCTATCGCACAAATAAAAGTGCCACAAAGACACACACACAAAAAAGGGACATCTTGTGGTTGTGAGAATCCTTAAAGTTCATATGGAGTTACTTCCCTCCTTGAGTGCAATGTTGGAACTGCGCAAAGCTTAGAAACACCTGCTCCAGTGAGATCTGACTCACGCAATAGTCTTCCACGCGATATTTCTCTTTGGCAGCCTCTAAAGTACCAAACACCTGAGGGGGAGTGAGAAAAAAACACAGTGAATATAAAGACAATATGAAGGTGAAATAATATGAGCATTGTTCTATTGTCTATTGTTTCTTATCATAATTGCATGAGCCCGCTGCTGTTGGACTCATAAACCTTTCCCCCCTGCCCTCTATAAAATCACTTTACTGCCCTTTAAAAAGTCACCTTACTGCACTGCTTAATGTATATTGTATATTGTGTGCACCGATTGTGTGACTGTTTCTATCTTGTTTTGTTCAGCACTTTGAATTGTGCAATACAAATAAACTTGCCTTGCCTGCCTATATAGCAAGATTTTTACCTTTTAATTTTTATATTTTAGAAAATTTTATACTATAGAAACCTTTTATTATTTCTTATTCTATTCTCTACTTTTGACTTGTTTGCACCGAGAGCCAAATCGATTGGCTATTCTGTGACTTCCTGTTACTTACAATATGATGGCAATAAAAAATGGTTCTGATTGTGAAAAAGGGGGTAAGAGCTTTAAGATACAGTTTGAGTTTTGTCCACAAGAGGGAGACTAAACCAAACGAATGCCTTTAATACATTATATCAGCCATTCCCAAACTCAGTAACACCGAGGCCCCCTTAAAAATCTGACGGGTCTGCGTGGCCCCCCAAAATAATAACCAAGAAGACAACATTAAGAATAGGCTTTTCTGGTTATTTTATTTTGGGGAAATAGCCTCTGCTACAAACATTGTAATACAAAAATGATTACAGTGGATTATTCAAGTCAAATAATGAACACAAATATTTTAATATTACAAACAAAACATTATAAATTTAACATTAAATAATTATATATATATATATTTTTTTTAATGACCTCCCGCGGCCCCCTGCAGTACCCCCGCGGCCCACCAGGGGGCCGCGGACCCCACTTTGGGAGACACTGCATTATATAATAAGCTAGATAAAATGAAACAACCATACCTGGGCCCATGTCAGAGATTTGTCTGTCAGATGATAATGTACCATTCCTTGATGCTCATCCTTCAGTTGGCTTCCTTCATTTGGAAAATTATAATAAAAAAAGGTTAATTTGATGTAAACTCGAATTGTGATTTTTGTCTTTTAACAATAATGTAGAGTCAAACCTGGAAAGGTGCTTTCGATAAAGTGTTTGAACAGCAAAAGGTCAGTATCTTCCAGCTCGGCATCAACATGAACTTTGGCCAACAACGTGTAACCGCTGCCAAACTTGCTTTTCAGGTGCTGTGGGCTCCCGAGGCACTTAAACTGTCCATTCACCATGACAGCCAGCCTTGTGCAGAGGGCCTCACACTCCTCCATGCTGAGAGAAAATGCAAATGAGTTCATATTTAATAGAGTTGTGTGGATTCAGATACATTTTAAAATCCATTGGAATACATATGCAAAAGTACCCAGTGTGCACCAGGCAAAACTATAAACGCAAGAGCTCTTTTTTGACAGAGTACAGACCTGTGTGAAGTAATGATTACAGCTTTGCCAGACTCTCGTGTACGTGTGACAGCATCCCAGAGCAGCCTTCTGGCGACTGGGTCCATTCCAGTGGACGGTTCATCCAGGAAGATAACAGGCGGCCCACCAATCAGAGCTATGCCTGCGCTTAGCTTCCTCTTGTTCCCCCCACTACCAATGACAAAACATTTTTAAATTCAATGTTACAAACAAACCCCTCATATAATCTATTTCTTCATTATGGCACCAACCTGTAACTACGGATGAGTTTATCGGCATGAGGCTCGAGAAGCAGAGACCTCAGCACGTTCTCCACACAGCCAGAGACGTACTTCTCCGGTATTCCTCTCAGCCTGGCGTACATGCACAGCGTTTCTCTCCCGGTCATATGGTCCAGCACGGCATCAAACTGCGGACAGTACCCAATGCGCTGCTGGACCTGGCAAAGCAAAAGGTTAGCCTCGATCGTCTGTGGTTTTGAAAGATCTACGAACACTTGAAATTTCCCCACTGTGGGACGAATAAAGGATTTCGTAAAAATTCAGCATACATTTTGTTAGCTTGTTTATGCATTTCAAACATGCACAAGATCAAAAATATTCACAGGAACAACAAATATGATAAAGAGTAAAGAAGAAGACCTGGGCATGGTTTGAAAAGGGATTGGTCGAAGTGATTACTGTACTTTTATTATAATCCAATCCCCTCCCAGCCATTCAAACACACACTACAACCTTGTCATTTAAAAAGCATATGACACATGAGGAACAGTCTGACAGTTGACGCGGCGTTCACCTATTTCAATGCTATGATTGTTCCTCACCTCACATACCGTTTATCCAGCTGGTCTCAGGCCAATGAGACTGCGCTCAAATCCCTAAGGTCAGTGTATAATCAAGCTTTAAAGGCACTGGACAAAAAACCGCTTCGCTACCACCACTGTAATATTTTAAGCGAGTATAAATTGCTGAGTTTTGACAATAATCTAAGAAGCATATTCAAAATCACAAATAATTTAGCTCCACCTCCTCTGAAAATCTTTGTCAAAATTTGCTCTGAACAAATGTCTCGATCGACTCGGTCCACTGTAAACAAAAACTGTGTGATCCCAAAAAGAGAGTCGGCTTTTGCACAATCGGCCTTTTCATGTCCTGCCATTAAACAGTGGAACCAGCTTCCAGACAGTCTGAAATTGTCTGTAGATCTGAAACATTTTACTATTAATTTGAAAAAGCACATTTTATATCGTCAATCGTGTCAACATTTATGAACATTAATAGCATTAGAAATGTTATTTATTTTAGCCTATGTCATTTTAGGAAAACATTTAATGTATAGATGAATGTATTTTGTGTGAGGTAAGTTTGTTTTTATTTGTGATATGTGTATCTGTGTGTGTTCATCTGCCCAGGGACTACAGATGGAAAGTAGCTGCGGCTAAATCTGGTGCAAACCGTCTCTTCTTTTGTAAAGACTAATGGTTTTTGTACATTATCCCTCTTTTATAAACAATAAACCAAACTAATACAATACAATACAATACAAAAAAAAGAATCAAAACCCTACATTACCCTCCAATAAAACACATAACGGCCAATGACACATAAACACAAACACATAAGCACCAATGGCAACAGACAAGACAAGATCCAGACACACCGACGCTCTCATTCACACAGACAAGACCAAAAACTGTATCTTAATCACTTTCAGGCAGATCTTACCTTCTTAATGTCTCTCAGGATGCTGTATCCGTCAATATAGGCATCCCCGCAGGTAACCGTCTCGTCACCGGTCAGCATTTTGAAAGTTGTGGTCTTGCCAGCTCCGTTGAAGCCCAAAAGACCAAAACACTCTCCTTTACTCACCGCTAATGACAACCTGTCCACTGCGAGAAGTTTACCCCCGCTCGAGTAAACCTGAAAAATGTGGAAAACTGTGTCATTTATTCTCAATTTTCATCAAGAAAAATAACAGTACATTATTTGTTTTACCTTGCTGAGCTCCTGTACAACGAGAGGGCTTTCCATCATTGACTCAACAACTGGTTGACATTCATTGACACGCTTTCTCTCATCAGCAACATCGCTGTCTTCTGGAAGCAGCGCGGCATTCACCGACAATGGAAACTATGATAAAAGGACAGAGATAAATGTGCGACAAGAACATGACATTACCAGAGGTGGCAAAAGTACTCATCATGGCCATAGACAGTCGATAAGAATAAGGTAAGTAAAGAGAGCCGTTATTTATATTTATATTATTACGTTATATTGAAGTTGAAGCACACATACAGGACAGTTGTAAGAGCACACAAATAGAGAATTTAAGTAGCTGATTTAGTCATTATAATAGTATATAAAGTTGATATAATAGTTGTGACTGGATCCTGAAAGGGCCGTGTGGCTGGAGATCTGAACTTCAACCAAGTCTGGTGTGCTCCTGTTCTGGGTGGATTTAAAATCTGCAGACCGGCTTGACACCCCTGGTCTATATCAATTGGTAAAAGTATTGACATAATTTGCTTAGTAGAGTAATAGTAACTCAACTTAAGTAACAAAAAAGGTTCAACTAAAACACTTTTGTTAAATCATTTACTGACAATAAAGGCTGTTTGTTCATTTAAAATTTTTACATTGTATGTCTTCAAGACAGTCCCCAATCCGTTTTAAAATTTTAGGGAGTGGAAAGTTAAAATATTTCAGTTTAAAAAGGTGTAAAAGTAAAGAGTTGTCAGAGAAATAAGTCAAGTTAACTTCTGTAGTACAGTTCTTAACTTCCCAGAGGTGGCAAGTTAAGAAGTGTAGCCTATTTTTTGAAATAAGCCAAAAAAGTAACAAATGAGTGTAATGCCTACCTGCTGACGTCGCATGAAGAAGGTGGTAATGAGGCGATGGAGAGTTTTGACAAATTGCAGCTCAATAAAAAAGAGCAGTAGAATAAAAACAAGGCCCTGCACCGATAAGGCCACTAGGAATCGTCCAATACCCGGAGAAGACATTGAAAAGTAGTTTGTTTGATAAGTGATGTCTAGAAAGAAAAAAAAACAACAACAAATAAATAAAAAAAAATTGCCAAATAAATCATAAATGTTATGGGTAATAAAAAATTACTTACTCATCTTTTTGCACAAATCGCCACAACGAGTATTTGAGGTGCAAAAGGTGAGGAATTCATAGTTTTGGTAGAACTCATTAAAGGACATGCCCAGACAGTAGTTGGGAAAGATCAGGAACACTTTGCTGAGTATTTTGGACAAGTTCTGCAGTTGTAACTCTAGAAAAAACAAAACAACAATAACTAGGGACTTAAAAAACTATAAAACAGAAGTTGACTTGTTATGGACAAAGCCAAGTCAATCACACAGTTAACTTTGAGGAGGCAAACATTAATTGTTTCACGCTGAGAATCATTTACTTGATTTATCCATTTTGAAAATAAACGTGAGTCCTATAATGACTAAAGCTTGGTGGAGTCAAAATAATAAGACCATAACCTCTGCTATGATAACTGTATTTCCTCATATCAGCTCTGTGCACTGTTTTACATTGCATTACATTGCATATGAATGTTTTAAAAGCATGTATAAATCAAACAACTTTTCTGGGTTCAAGTAGGGGAAAAAAAACATTAATTTACATTTAACAGTTTTTTTCCCAAAAGATTTGAATATATTAATACAGGTTGTTTTGATCATAAGAAAACATTGCAAAAACACAAGTGGATAAGCATTTGCATTACGTAGTTTAAGGAGTTTTGGTTCCATTGGTCAATATTCAATAGATATTTTTTCTGCATTTAAGCAATTTTTTGGACTTGTTTGCAAGTGACTTAACCCTTTAGGCGCCAGAGTTTTTTCAAGAAAATATACAATTTTTATTTCAAGATTTCAAAAGGCTATAACTTTAAAATGGTTAGAGATAAAGGCATACTGTAAATTAGAAATATCTTCAGTTTGAACCAAACTTTGGGATGGAGGTTGATTCGTCATCTAATTTGCATAGTGTGACGTCATCAAGGTGGCGACCATTTTGGAAAATGTTAATTATTGTATAAAAACTTCAAAAAGCTGTAGCTTGGGAGTTTTTTTTAGATCAGGGAATACTATAAACAGTCAGTGTGAAATATATTTAGTATGAAATGAATTTGGGATAGAAATAAATTCCCTGATCCAGATTATAGATAATGTTTTAGCACTGGTTCGCAATATGGAATTGTATTATTTTCAAAGACCTTCAGTGATCAAGACTGCTCTCTTTATAGTTTACAGTCATGAAATCTGGAGTTTGGTTTCAATATTTCCCTTTCAAAGAAGTGGTGGGCTTACTATTTTTCTCGGTGGAAATGAGGCTCCTGAATTTATGGTTTAGAAACAGAGATGAAATGAATGGGCTCAGAACATGTCAGATCGTCTCAACAACATACAACAGGCTCTTCAACACTTCTGATCCACTTTTGTGGATTATTTTCTCTCAAGAACTGCCTTGATCCTCATCATCGCTGTTGGTAAAGGCAGTGAACGCGAAAAGCGATGTTTTTTTATTCCCGCGGCTCTCCCGCGACTTCTCCCGCGTCTCCCGTGTTCCCCGTGGATGTCTACCCCGCTACTTTCTCCCACATGCCCGGTGTTATGATCCCCCTGTCCCCTCCACCACGGCCCCTGCTTGGCGTTCACAGAATGCTTCTACCGCGGCCACACGGAGGACAAGCAGCCGCTGTACAGGGGCTGATTGTGGACTATGGAGCGCTGTCTCCCCGTCACCAATAATGTCTGTGTCTGCTTCACTGGACACCTGTGTGTCTTCCTTCTTTGAATCTGAGTGAGCCAGTACCAGACCAAGTACTTCTCTGGTACTGAAGACCTCGTGAGTAAAATAAAAAACACTCTCTCCCTCTGCTCTGCTCTCGCTCCTCTCAGCTCTACCGCTGCTGCTTCGCCTCCGCGCTGCTGCGCCGCAGGTGTTTTACGAACTCAATTTACTCAAAAACTTTCAATATAACCACACCCACAAATGCTGCTCATATTACAGGCACACATGTCCACTAACCCCTGGTGAAAAGTATTAACAAGATTCTGCACCACATTTTTACATACAGCCTGTTTAAGTGAGCAATGTTGCTTGTCGCAATATTGCGACTTTGGCGCTTAAAGGGTTAAATAATCTCAGTCTTTGTTGCTTGCTAATTATGTGATTCATCGTGCAACCCTAAAAGAACCCCTTCAAGAACAATTATAGGTTGGATCTTTGTCACTTACGAGGAATGGTCAATATGATGACGGTGAGGAACGTGGCGGTCCCAGTGATCACATTGAAGATGGTGAGCCGTGTGTACGCGGAGGCTGGAGTGGAGAAGAAGAAACTGAGGAGGTACATGAGCGGCACGATAGCCCAGCCGTAAAGCAGCAGCATCAACAACGCATCCACAAGATGGTAGTCCACTGTAAACGCCTTGACTCCAAAACACTTGAATATGACCTGAAAATGAGAGAAAAGATAAGTGTATGCATTGTAAATATATTTGTATTAAAGCAATGCTGCCATACTGACCAGAATGAGGAGACATGGCAGAAGGAAGTTGATGAGGTCCCAGAGTAAAGCTGAAAACCAGAAGTTGGAAAGATACACGCCGCTGACCTTCTGGACATGTTTGGACTTAATGGCCGACTCCGTTACAAGCAGAAGGGCGAAGGTGCTTGATAGTGAGGCCATACCGTACATTAGGTTTATTGCAATGGCAAAGCTGGTTTGACCTCTAAAAACAAATTTGAAAAAGTTAAGTAAATGTATTGTACAATAAAGTATAGACTCTAGACCCCTAAAAAGTATAAAGTATAGAATGTAGACCGCACAGAACTGGGAAAAAAAGCTTTTGTACATGCTGCTCCTTCTACATGGAACGTGTTGCAAAAAGACATTATCTGTATTTATTTAATTGAATTCTTTTAAATCCAGATTGAGAGCACTTGAGACGTCCTCATTGAAATGTAACCGTTTTTATAATCCGTAATGAAACTGTTTTATAATATGTATGTAACTGTTTTATAATATGTATGTATGTAACTGTATGTAACTTTTGTCCAGGACTCCCTTGAAAAATAGGTTCTTAATCTCAATGGGACTTCCCTGGTCAAATAAAGGTAAAAAAAAAAAGACAAAAAAAAGACCCCTCAATATTGACGTCATGTATAGTGTTTGCCTTATCACAAAAGAACCCTGTTAGCGCTAACTCAAACACACTTCATGGGCAGGAATTTAGAGCCAAATGGCGTAGGAAGCAACAACCTAGCAACTACAGGAGCTATCAGGAGTGAGACGTTAGTTCTACTCACTAGCTAAAGCCAAAATCTGGGACAGAAGGCACCCAATTAGTCTGTTGCATTAAACCACAGAGAGTGATGTGAGTGTGACACAAATGAGTACAGAGCTAGAAGAGTTTACTTTTCAATCAAAGTGAATGGGAGCTAAAGCAAGTTGGAGTAAATTATCACCCGTAAGAACTAGTGAGTTAGCAATTGTCCACATCCATATACTGTCAATGATTGTGATGAAAAAATATGAAAAGACGTACTCTCTTAGCTCGCTCTTGGCCATTTCTGTCATGTTGCGTGGCATGGGGTTGTTGTTGGTGATGATGGAGGCGTTGGGCCCGGCGACTAGCCTAAACAATGCGTTGTCCACCATCATAAGGGCCGTGGTAGAGGTGTGGTAACCTTCATTGTTGAAATAAGCCGTCACTTCGGTGTAATGGCTGGTCTTGCCTTGAAAAGCAGCCCCCACCAAACAATTCTCATTGAAAACCCCGCCTTCTGCTTTCGCGTTGACGAGGACATATTCGATGAAGTCTGGAAATAGGAAAAAGTCACGTGTTGAAATAGAAGTGGGAGAAAAATAAGCAATTGATCGCAGATTTTGGGAACATACCAGTGGTGTTAACAAGTTTCGCCAGCTGATCAGGCAACTGGGAGCTGTATGTTTTTGCCAGAGCCAAAGCCAAAGAGCCAGATTTAGTGGGCAAGGCTACAGGAACTTTGGTCGGCCCATAGTGACTCAATGCCAGGTTGAGTGGAGGGGTATTTTGACCACCAGGTAAAGTCTGAGCTACAACCAACGCTATGACTGTAAAAATCAAAGGCACGAGGAACTGAGCCACCATGATTTTCCAGTTTCTAAAGCTGTACAAAGCCCTTTTCAGGAACATGGCGTAGAACTGCTGCAGGTGAAGCTTCATCTGGTAGAAATCAGAACTTTGTAAATACTATGTACACACTTTATTATTCACAAAATCGATTGTTTTCTCACCCCGGTGTTGAGCTTAATGTTGGAGCAGTCCTCTGAGATTAGAGTACCGCTGTCTGTGAAATCGGTCACATCGGTCATTCCGCTGATACTGCTGGCGTCGTCTGAGGTCCAGTCGTGGGATCGTCTTTCGTGCTGATATTGTAGCGCGGGCAGCTGGATGGCCTGGATGTCCAAACTGGAGTCCACCAGCTTTCCCACTCTGAAGAACACACATAATAATTCAACCCACTGGATTTTGGAATGAATTTAAGTACAGTGATTGCATCCTGACTTCCAACTCAAGTATCTTATTGAAATAAAAACATGAATTTGACAAAAACAACAAAAAGGTATGATTGAGAAGCTGGGGAATCGAACTTTCAATTTACAAAACATGCAACTATGTAATATAATCCAACTAACCCTCAAAACATTTCTATCACACAATTATTTTCACATTTTACGGTCAGCTTTTGATCTACAGAACAGAAAATTATAAAACCAGCGACAAATTGTGACTCGCAGGACTCTTGCAAAAAATATGTTTTCAAATAAGTTGTAGACAGCTTTTTGTTCACAACATTTTACATTTACCAGACTACTTCTTTTAAGTCAAACAACATCCAAACAGTTCCAGCTTTAACCTTTAAGTCATTATTACATAAACCTTTTTAAACAGCGTATTACAGATTCCTTTAAGCCCACACAGTCGCAGTGGAGTTGAATGTGTTACATACAGACAAACAACATTTCTCACACACCCACCATGTGTTTCTCCTACCTCAGAAACACCTCCTCCATAGTGGTCACTGAGGCCCCGTAGCTGGCGATGCCCAACTCGTCTCTATTCATCTCCAGCTCAGCAAAGAGCAGCTCAAACCTTCAGCGGAAATGATGTAATCACAAACACAGCAAATAGTGACATCAAATAGTCATAAACATTTCAACTTGAAATACATTTCACTTATTGAATTGATAATGTTTTGGAGCAGTATTAGCATAATTTTGAGGATGATACCTTTATTTTATTACTATATTACTTTTATTCTTAATTTTATACTTGTTTCATTGGAAATTCTTGTTCTAAGACTGTCAGACTATGTTAAAATCAATCACTAATTCACATAAACTTCTGTAGTGATATATATCAGTAAGAAATAGAAGCCTTTAAGCAAAATTGCAGATTGCAACATGAAGCATAATAAAACCTCCCAATATGTAACGGAAAACGTTATTGTGATTTATTTTAATACAATTATAAAGAAAATTGAGTTGGGGCAGTTAGAAAATAACTACATATTATGAATAGTTGCAATTCTACATTCACAAAGAAAACTATAAAAGCACTCAAAGTGCAGACCTTCCATTCCTTTAGTAAGTAAGTAGCAAGTAATCTTTATTTATATACCGCCTTTCACAGACCAGAGTCACAAAGTGGTTTACAATTGTGGGCATTTGTCTCTCACTCCACACAGAGATAGGAGCGAGGTCGCCAGTACAGGAGGTGCATGCCAGACCTGTATATGTTTTTAGTGGTAGGGGAAACCGGAGAACCCGGAGGAAACCTAGGAAGGCACAGGGAGAACATGCAAACTCCACTCAGATAGGCCCTGTTACGACCGGGATTTGGACCCAGGGTCTTATTGCTGAGAAGAGAGAGAGTCCTATCCACTCAGCCACGGGCGCCGAGTGGATAGGAAACTTGTCAGGACGCAGGATTTTTTAAAAAAATCTTGCGTCCTGACTCGGATCACCTCAAATGTAATCAGTTCCTCACTGAGCCATTGCACAAGTTTCCAAAAATTTAAGATTAAGAGATCCTTTATTTGTTCCACAGCGGGGAAATTTCACTGCAATCTTATCGGCCTGTGTACTGACCACAACGGCCAGTGATGGGCCCTGGATGTGGCCTGAGCATGTTTCTCGGTCCTTACAATTAGCACAAAGAGAATAAAGAGGGCCAGATCCTGATCTTCTCCAGCTCTGGGCTGGACGTGCAGTAAAGTTTGTGTAACTGTTGTATTAACCTCAGAAAAATCAGAGAGCGCATAAAGCAAGCCGCGGCGTATTCAAATCAATGGCTGGTGCTCAGTGGCGTGTGAAGCGACCAAGGACAACGAAAGATTAAAGCCAACCCATATTTGGGCATTTCTCTGGTCCTCCCAGACCAGAGAAATGTGTGTGGATCTCATGCACATGCACAGCTGATGAGAGTGGGAGTAAAAAGAGCATACTTTCTTGCACTAAAGTGTGGATTTAACAAGAAAAAAAGTTCAGGATGACAGGGGACACTAAAATCTGACTTTTATAAAAGCTGTAGGTTTTCTGTCAGCTGAGGTCGAGCTGTTCTATGGGGAAAATTTCTGGGTAGCCCATGTCAAGTTAGTTTGGTTTAGTCTGCAGTACAGCGGGAAACCCCCGAGCCCATAGGTGTATCAGCTATGAGACACTAATACCCTATCCAGTTATTGTCATAGATCCATGGCATGGAGCTGTTTCAAATTATGAGCTCCACGTCCTCACAGACTGTTCTTGACAAGTTGCTCAGGCTCTTGTCGAATCTATATTAGAAATGATGTAAAATAGAAGCATATCCATCTGCAGGACTGCATGTTGTTGTGGGGCAGGTGGATACTCTTGTAACTCTTTCAACTTAAAACGTGAAACCAATACAGGGATGAATAGCATTGAGTCAATCTTATATTAGTTTCAAAACTAGAAAAATAGAATTTTACCTAATGAAGCAATAAGTGGCTCTAATTACGCATCCATATTTTTTGACACATTCGCACTCAGTGCTCGACTAAAACCCCTCTGGATTGGAGTGCTGGTATATTGGCCAATGATTCAACCTAGATCAGAACAAAGCGCTCAGTGACTCACCTGCTGGTGCTTTCTTTGGGCAGGATGTAGGAAAGCTCGGCCCCTGCGCTGCTCTCTAGAGTAGCGTTGGGAACATACAGATGCACCAGGCGGGAGATCTCAGACACATTACAAAGGGCGCCTTTCACTATGACCATGTGGTAGCCAGCACCTGGGGAGCCAAACAAAACTCCATCAGTCAAACTGAACAGCAGCACACACTAAACCCAGAGTCTAAATGTGCTTTAAAAGATCTCACCATATTTATTCTTTAAAAACAGTGAGGACCCACAGCACTGTAACTCCCCTCCTGCCATGATAGCGATACGATCTCCCAACAAATCTGCCTCATCCATGAAGTGTGTGGTGAGCAAGATGGTGCGTCCACGCTTCTCTCCCTGCAGCAGGTCCCACGTGGCCCGTCTGGCTGAAGGATCCATGCCTGAGGTGGGCTCATCCAGCATCACCACCTGAAGGATGGCACAGATAATGCTCAGAAAAACATACTTTACTTAACCACTACTCTGGAGTAATATGGATCTAACCTTAGAGTCTCCAATAAGAGCAATGCCAATCGATAGTTTTCTTTTCATTCCTCCAGAAAGAGTCTTGGCTCGAGCATTTTCTTTGTTCTCAAGTTTTAAGATACGGATCATGCGGTGCACTTCCTCTGGGATTTTTTCTTTGGAGTAGTCTTTCAGCTAACAAAAATCCCACAATTGGTTTATTTTTTACGGATTTAACAACTAAGATGATGTGAATGAGTACCTGTGCATAGAAGAGCAGGTGTTCTTTGACTGTCAGGTCATCAAAGAGGACATCGTGCTGAGGGCACAAACCCAGACTCTGTCGAATCAGGGCCATGTCCTGGCAGATATCGTAGCCACTGATATAAGCCCTGCCGCTTGTGGGAGGGAACAGTCCTGAAGTACAAACACTTTCCATTAGCTTCTGTTGTACATCAATGAGACATGATTCCACTAAATGAATGAACCTGTTAACATGGATAGTGTTGTGGTCTTTCCGGCTCCATTGTGACCGAGCAGAACTGTGATCTGCCCTTCGAACATATTGAGTGTAAGATCACGCACGGCCTTACGCATCTTATTGCCTACTTTAAATTCCTGTCAAATACATGAGCATATGTTCAAAACAATAAATTAAAAAACACTATATATTCTTAAAAATAGTTTGTGTCTCACTTTAACGAGACGTTTTATTTTAATCCCAGCGACAAGTCCACCTGGCTCCTGTTCAATAAACTCTCCTTTCAGTGCCTTTTCAGCATCCTCCTCCTCTTCCTTCTCACTGAGCACCGGTTTGCCTTTCCAGTAAGAAGGCTGTAAAAACAACAGAACACAATTTGTATAAACTGTAAACAGCACAAACAGGAACATATTCTCGCAGCGGGATTTTAACAAGGCTGCGAAACCTAAAAAAAAAAACAGGGAACAGGGATTGCTTAGCAGTAAATCCTCATCCAAGAAGCATTGTGGCATTATGTTAATTGCCCACGAAGCATAAAACACTTAGGCTGGTCTGACAACAGGGGTTTTTTAGTTTTTGTTTTCTCCCTAATGCCTGTTGTTGTTTTAGACACACCTAAATCCCTAATCCTTTACTTTTAACACAATCCCTATCCCCACTATTGTTTTGTTTACCAGTAAGTGAAGAGCAGATTTTATTGCCTTAAGATCTATGTAGCACATAGTACATACATTTACTTGAATTCCTAAGCTCAAAGTAAAATTAAATAAAAACGTAACACCAAACTCACCAATAGAAAGAAATGTGGTGGTAGCGGTAAGCCATACTCTCCAGGGAACACAGCCTCTACATAACAGGCCAGGAGTCCGTACAGCACAGCGTCAAATAGAAGCATAGCTAACACCTGCGCCATGGAGAAGTCATCATCCACCGTCACCGCATCAACTAAGTTATACCACTGGATCCCTGTGCCTGAAGAGAAATAACAGGGTAGTTATGCTAATTATTGTATTTTGAACTGTTATTTATTCCATCTTACCTTTGCCTTCAAACATTCCGATGAGCTGAGCACCCATTGCCATAGCTACATTTGAGATAAGGCAGGACGAAACCTTTTGGGAATGGCTCAGCAAGTCATAGCGCGGCCATATGAACAAATAAGGCAGGTAAGTCAGGAAATAGAGGAACCCCCCTGCTGCTGCTGCTGAATTGGCTGAATAGAAAAGATCAGTGATAAAGATAATTAGTCCAAACATGTGTTGCGTGTTTCTACATCATGTGCCTCACTACGGTCTACACTCCATCAAAGCAATCAAATATTCCTTTGATTTTATCTCAAGACGAAACTAAGTCGTGTACTCAGCTCAGGTTTTGTTATGCATCTAATCCAAACATGTATCTTGTGCGAGCCAATTTGAATAGAAACCGACTAAGTAGGTGTCAGTGCGGAGCAATTGTGGAGTCTTTTTAAGGAATGAAAGCAATTCCACTTCCTCCCCCTGCGCTCAGGATGTGGAAATAATTACAAACGTGGGATTAAAATGGGTCCGAGGAGGAGACTCTAAAGCGCCGTTGTTAATTTTCTCAAATAACTGAAAATGTTTAATCTTTTAATGGACCAATTTGTTTTATTGTTTGATTGTTGCCAAATCAAAAAGAGTTGTGACATCCTGTTTTTGTGATTTTGTGTAGTACAAAAATAAAGCCCCATCAAAGCTGAACTCCTTAAGAAAGAAACGTATATAATAATAACTAAACAAATATCTAATTTATAACAACATTTATAAGAAAGTATGGGAGCCAATCTAATATCTGATTATTCTGACTACATTTCATTTTTATCTTTATAACTTTAAAAGATGAAACCAATACAGGGATGAATAGCACCATGTCTGTGTGGAGTGAGAGGACAAATGCCCAAAAAAATTTCAATTGTAAACCGCTTTGTGAAATAAAAATTACTTACTTACTCACATACTTATATATTTGTCTGTTTTTTTGTTTGTCGTTTTGCTTGCACCAACCAAAACTGTGAATTATCCCATTTTTTTACATTTTTTATTTCTGGTCGGATGTGCACTTGATTTGTCAAATGTTTGTGAGTTGGAGAAATAATAAAACACATTATTGGAAAACAGAGAGACATTGGGTTATTTTCAAAATCATCAGCCTGAGTGACTAAATCATTTTGTATTATAGTTTTTGCCAATAGAAGTGGAACATCAATACTTATTATTGGTGCTTGTAAGCATTGATACAAGACAGCTTTGCTTTTCAGCATGGTCCTGACTTTTCTTTTCTTTTTTACACTGTGCTGTATCCCCTCAGAGTGGAGAAAAAAATCCTTGAATATGTGATGTATGGGGATAAAAGCAATTGCATATAGATTCTCCGCTCTCAAACAGAACAGGGGCTGTCTGCACACCAACAAATAAGTGTTTTTGTCGTCATTTCACACACTTGCATGCCGCTCAAATCTGGGGCAGTAGGGAGCGTCATTCTGAAGGCAGTGGCAGTGGAGAGAAGGATGTGGAATGGCGGTGTCAAGACATGAGCACTACTTACCTCTGGAGAAGAAGGCACTGATCAGAAAGCAAAAGTTTATTGTAGCTGCAGTGAATGTCAGCAGGAAAACAAACACAAGGCTTGGGTCACTGTGGGTCAGTACAGCCCCATTTGAGGTCACCTAGAAAACACAAAAATTTGGATGTTTTATCAAGATTAAGCTAAACTGCCACCTCTACATCCAAAGATTCATTAAACAGCGGCGCTTGTAAACAAAAAAGGGATTTGATTTTAGTTTATTTCGGAATAAGCCTGTATCTTTCTTTTAGAAGTTAGAAACATGATTTTCTCTTTTTCATAATTTCTATACACTGAGTTGCACTACACAAGTCTGATTATAAGAATTTGTAATTCTTAATTCAAGCATTTATATGAATATATTTGTGAGAGTCGATAGACAAAAGAGAGCATAAGTTTACATTAAAAACAATAAATGATTAACAAATAAATTAAAACGTTTGAAAAGACAAGGTGCAGTTAATCTTTAAATTCAACAATAAAAATAGCTTTACTATTGTTTAGAAAGTATAGTAAAGACATTTTTAATTCTCTCTCTTGAAGTTATTAAATGTTATTACTCCGAACAAAATGTATTACAGCCTACAGAATATCGATAAACAGAATAACCAGAAGCACAATATCAATAAACAGAATATATATAAACAGAATATCAATGAACGCATCGCAGGGAAAATGTTGATCAGAGTTTGAAATTGTTATATTGTCGTATGCAATGCTTCCGAATTATTGCTTCTTAAACTCGTCATTCTACATTGAGCCCAACGAAAGGCAACCAAGACAGTGCACAACAATATAAAGTACCTGAATACAGAGCAGAATAGTGACCAATAGAACGGAAATGGAGAGGAAGAGGAAAAACATGAGGAACCAAGCACTCCAGTGAAGCCAGTTGCTTAGCCCCATCATCCTCATGTACTCCTGACAAACACAAGAGAAAATAATAAGCACAGAGTCTGCAACGATTTAAATCATTCGAAAATAAACAAAAAAAACCAATAACATACTTTGAGCTTTCGTTCTTTCTCTTGCACGATAAACCGCACGATGCTGATACCCGAGTAAGTGAAGCTGAGGACGAGCAGTAAGGGCAGCTGGTTCTGAATGACCAGGATGTAGACGTCGTAGATGAAGGCGGGAAAGGGAAACCTCGACATGATCACTCTGGTCTTCTGCAGCAGGCTGTGAGACGCGGCGCCACCGTGAGAGCGAATGATGGCCCGGTCCACCGCGTGCTGTACGGCCAGAAAGCCCTCTCTGTAATAGCCTGTGGGAGCCAAGGTAAGAGTAGTTAGTTTGCTATTTTGCATGTAGTATATTAGAATGTTATTAAATGTTGGTTTATTTTGTTATAAATTAGTTTCTTGTTCAATTCATATTTTAAGTTAATTTTAGGATCTTACTGTCATGTTTTTAAATGTCTCTTTAGAGCTAGATAATAGAATATGTACGTTAGAGAGGGAGAGGTTTTGGCTTGTTTACGACAGTATGGACGAGGGAGCGTAGCCAATAGAGCACGTAACTTTTTGCAGCTTAAAGTGATAGTCTGTAACTCTAAATGAATTACAAATTTTAGGAAATGTGTTAAATTGACCTCCTGGCCTTAAATTTGATATAAAATAAGTCATTTCATTAATTCTAATAGTACGGGCAAGTCCCGCCTTCCCTTCTCTTAGCTATAGCTCAGAATCCACGATGCCGTCGAAGTTAACCAATCAAGTCATGCGAATCAAGCCTCTAATAGGCTCTGGAACTTCATGAAAACTGAACAAAGAATTCTGAACATCCACGCTGAGTTACCCATTTATATACTGAACCTATATCCATAATCAGATCCTCTGCAGATGTGTCCTATAATGTGCAATTCATGATAATAGCTTCTTCCGGGTTTGCCGCGATCGCTTTTTTTGTGCAAAAAAACATAATTTTTGTCATTAAAAAGTTAACAAATAATTCTGAAAACCTCTGTGCATGTGTATTAATAATGTGTATGTATAATGTGTTCTCTGATTAACATTTAAAAGTGTTACGGAAACGTAGGTGTAAACCAATCAGAAAGGAAGGGGGAGGGAGCTTGCATGGTTTTTTTCAAATCAAGTATCTCTCTCTCTCTCTTTCTGACAAACTGCAGACAATCACTTTAATTATTTTACATGGAGTGCCGTGGGGGAGGTTTTTGGCACAAGTTACACCTTACATTGGTTACATTGGCAACAAGTGGAAACTGCTGAGTGCATAGTCTGAATAAATGCAAACAAGAATGAAGCAAGTAGATGGGCAGGCAAGGCAAAAACTGTCCAAAACTAGATAACCTGAACATAAAGAGTGCGTACGAATATGGGGGGTGCATCTGAGGATAATGCATGACAGACAAAGAAATGTCCACACATTTCCTATTTCAATGAAATGTGTTAAAAGACTGGAAATTAACAGAATTTATTTCACTAAATGGTTTCCGGATTGAGAGCACTTTTGACATCCTCATTGACATATAACTGTAATTTTATGTACAGTAATTGTGTGTAACTTTTGCTGCCTCTCCCTTGAAAAAGAGGTTCTTAATCTCGATGGGACTTTCCTGGTAAAATAATTTTTTTTAAAAAAGCATTCTCATCAACATCATTATATTTGTGGTAAGATCTGTGATTAGTATGTAATGCTGATTATGCAACTTCAATGAGGAACAGACCATTTCTCAAAACAATCCATTTTGTTTGACCCAACAGAAGAATCTTGTAAAAGTAAAATTGTTGTGAACAAATCAGAGCGCAACAAGCTTTCTTCATCTTATTAGAAAACATGTGATATTGTGCATACTTGATAGACACTTGTGAGACTTGGGGCAGAGAGCTGATTGGCTGAGTGAGGATGGCCCTCTGTTTTTCACGTTTCTGTCTGAAAAGGCTGGTCTAACAATTTAAAGCCAAACATACAAGCGAAAACTAGTGATACAATCAAACAGTTCTGAGCACGAGGAATTAGTTAGATGGAGTCATAATTATTGGACAACCAAGCTTTAAGTCTCCTCCAGATATTTCAGGCAAATTAAAATATTACAGGGCATTACGGTTTCGCAACATTGCAGGGCTTATTGAAGACTTTTTGTTAGATCTACATCAGACAAACAGGTTTTCAAACACTTGGCGAGCTCTCCCTGATAGCTTAGGAATGTTCATCTTATGTATTTCCAATTTTTCTATATCAGACATAAGGATGGAGCTCACCTGGAGTTCCTCCCATTGGAGAGTACTGCTCCCGGGGGCCTGGCAGCTGAAACAGGGGGAAGAGGCTGCGCGTGTGCCAGTCCAGGTCACTGTTTGGGTTAAACTCCATTTGCTCTGATGCCGGTGCAAAGCGAGGCGTGTAGCTGAACCTCAGGCTGTAGTTCACCTATTGTTGAAATGAAGACAAAGAATACTAAGCTTTTTAAACATGGCAGTTGCTGTTACAATTACATAGAAAGCCTAACTTTTCAAAGAACCAAAATGTTATCTGTGGTTGCAATAACATGCATTGGGTGTGAAGTCAACTAAGGTTGTAGCTAATGAGTATTTTCATAACCGGTTAATCTATTCTTTTGATTAATCCTTTAGTTGTTAAGAACACAGATGTGATATTCCATCTCAATTTGACCCAGATAACGCTGAGGAGAAGCCAACGAAGGACATCCGAATAGATATTCATTTCCAATTTTATAATTAAAAACAAGACATTAATAAATAAACAAAAGAATTGTGATACACTCTTTGAATGATAAAATCTGAATCACAGTTGAAGTCTGAATAAAGATCAATTCACAATTAAAGAAATGTTGAAACTTTATTATTTGTCATGAATGAATATATTGTTGCAGCTATAAAGGTCCACACATGGTAAGACACCAATATAGTGGGAATATAAGAAATAGGGAAAAGAAAAAGAATTGAGAAAAAAATCTAACAAACTGTATTTGTCATGTGCTCGTAATTACTGGTGAGTTGTCTTGTGTTGTGTTGTGTTTTGTTGCAACAAGAATGTGACTAAACCTGCACAGCAAGAACCCATTAACCCTCTCAGGGGCCAATTAGATTTAAATGACAGGAAACATCTGATATTTGGGGAAAATTATCATATGGGGTGTAATATACAATCCTGACATACACAGGCAATGCATTCTGGGATGACGACAGAATTGCAACATTGGCTCTCTGAGGTAAATAGAGCTGATCCGGGGAAAAAACCCAGAGGAGATATAATCTACAAACTGTATGTATGTCATGTACTGTACCTTATACATCTATATATATTCATTCTATGCAGTTTTTGTTTCAAATTATTGGAGTTTGGTAGCAATAGTGACTTGAAATAGAAAATCCGTTTTGGTGCAATGTCTGCCTGGATAGAGTTAAAATACAAATAATCTAGCACATTTCTTGTTTTTTGATAATAAAACGTGTACCTTAATGGGGAGGGGTTCATCATGGAGGAGCAGAGGGTGGTGAAAAACCACAGCGGCCAGAAACAGGTGAGAATATGGGTCAGTTCGGACAAACTCCTCAAATTGATCTTCTGTATCAAAGCCACGCACTGTAAAGTAAATAATAATGCATTTTATGTTATGCAATGTTCCAATATTATTGCCATTCAACTGTCAATACTGTGCCCAGACCAGGTGAAATTATTTTATTGAGTGGTTCTTTTTTCCTCTCTAAGAAAATACTAGTACCAAAATATCTAAAGCATATCTAAAATAGGACTGCTCTTGGTCTACAATGTGGCTAAAGCAGTTATCAAATAGGATTTTTTTCTATGGAAGCAAATGAGGATTAAGGACAAACATGCATGTGCCACGAGAAGGAGCTTGGTACAACAAAAGCTGGATGCACCACAGCTTGAGAAACAACAAACTAAAGAATCACTTTTGCACTGTTTTTCACTCAAAGTGGAATACAATTTATTATTGATCATTGGCCAAAAATAAACAAAAAACAAAGATACTTTTGACAACTCCAAACAGTGTCAGACGTGTGGCACTGGGCAAGGCAATATGATGACATATGATCAATCCTTAATTATGACACAATTATAAAACAGATTCAAGCTTAAGTAGGAGAGGTATGAAATTGTTGGTGCAAAAACAGCCTATTTAAAAGGATTTCAGTTATATAACCCATTCAGATAGTATTATTCTCCTTGAGACGCTTGTGCACTAAGTATAAGTCTGGGTCTCTCAATTTCAATCATGAAAAGAAAGAATTATGAAATATATCATTCAAGTTTTGGTTTAGGACTAGTAGACTTCCACAATATCCACTGGATAAGATTATGGCAATGAAGCTTAGGAAATCCTTATGATTGCCTAAGCTTGGCTATGCAACAACAGTAGTGTGACATCCAACAGGAAAAGCAAATATACGGTCTTGTGTATCAAGACTCAAAGCTGTTGCATTAAAGAGTCCAACAAAACAAAAGAGTAGAACAGTGATACTTCGGGGGAGTCTGTATCTAAACAGACTGAGAGGAAAGAGAGACACAACAAGTATAATTCCTGCTTAACGAAAACAAAGAACCCGGGTGGGGCAGGGATGGTTTCCTAGCAAGTTTTCCAAGAGAAACCAGTATTCCCAGCGCAGTGGTGGTTCATCAGGAATCCTTAACAACATATGGTAGCCACGATGTCATTGGATATTTCTCAGTTGCAACACATGAATGTATGAGTTTAGAGAATGTATAATTTCATGAGCAATATTTTGTTTTGCTAATGAGGCATGCTTATCTGTAAAAACAAGAAAAAAACAAACAAAACAACAACAACAAGATATTTGTACACAGGTATTTTTGCATTATGGCTATCGCAATAGAGCTTGCAATCACAATGTTGAGATTTAAAGAAACTGAATTAACTGTAACCAATGAAGATTATCAGACACCACTGTAAAAAAAACCTGTTGTTTACAAATCCCCTTCAATTGAAATTTGAATGTGTTTTCAATCCGGAATGGGGTAATATGATTGCCAATGTATATGATGCTAATACATCTCTAAGGACGAGCCACACACCATGTTACCAAGATGTCGTTCTTCCACCCATTTCCATTTAACCGCTTCTGTTTTTATGTTCATTCTCGAGCTCTATGCTTGACCATCACTCTGCTCAAATTACAGCTGGACTAATGATCCTTAAGGGCATTACCTGAATGGAGTGTTAGGTTGGCACGCACGTCCTCCGCCACCTGCCGCACCGCACTGGAGTTGAGGGGGACGTAGGCCAGCTGCATGATATGGAGTAGAGGATTCGGCAAACTGTCCACTTCGAAAGACTCATAAACGGTGGCATTTGGGAAGGTCGAGGTTGGAACCCGCTGTCGCAGGCCAATTAGTATCCCCGAGAAGAGCAGTGGAAGGAGTATCTCAATCACAGTGACCAGAATTTTACGTTTCTAAAAAAGAAAACAACACTTAGTGACAGTGTTGATTAATGAATAGACAAACAGTGTATTATGTACGTACTAAAGGAACAAGGGAAAGAAAAGTGGCTTAATGAACACTCTTACTTCAGTAAGAGCGGGCTTTGATATGTAATATGCATAAAAACCGTTGGGGAAGTTCATTTTAAGAGTTTGGCCAATATCCACTTTTCATTTTTCAGTCTTTTCAGTCCCTGTCAAATCTAAGTGGTCCACATCGACTGCGTTGCCAACAGATGAATGATTAACCGCTGATATCAATTATGGGACAGAAATATCAACTGTTCCATTTACGGGTCAAGATGACAACTGCAAAATGCAACTTGTTTTGAACCAATAACAAAAGATATTTGCTAAGGTTGTCCTGGTCTTTCCTATCAGCCTGGCCACACATGCAAAAGCAAAAGGCACTGATGCAAGAAAGTCACTCTACCTGATATGGTCAATGGAATAGCCCCCAATTCCAGTCTGTACATGTTGGGAAATAACTGTGCTAAGCCAAAGTCAACAATAGATAGACTTACATGAGATAAACTCAAGAAAATACTGGAAAAAATATAAAACAACAATGGATTCTATTTGTTGATATAACACACAAGCGCTAACACTCATTCAACAACTATATGTATTTTACATAGGTTTTCTATGACTGTATGGAGCTGTGAATTCAATTTCATATTAAATATATAGTGGACAGAGGAGTGTTAAAAGACATAATCTATTCAATTTCACTGTCTGAAATTAATGGATTATTTATTAATTTAAGAGTTATAAGAGTAGTTCAGAAAAATTAAATCTTTCAATATTGAAAAACATGTTCAATATATCATTCACAATTGTTTTTATTCTTTATTTGGATCTGGAAGGGCCAACTCTTGCTCAAAACTGCTGTTTTAATCAAGTGTAATAGAATTTTTTTAATGATTTATAGCTATTGATACTATCCTGTTCGTATAGTCAAAAACTTTACAGTAGCACGCGACAAAGGCCAATGATTAGGGTCACTCACAAAGACACATTTTATGTTTTATGAAGATTTACTTTGACATTAGAATAATAAAGAAAAACATTTCATATCCGCTGATATTAGCAGGGGAACACTTCCTCATGTCACTGATTGAGGTGGCTGCAGCAATAACAAATACTTCCACACCAACATTAAAACTAAACAAACTGACAACAAACATGGCAAGCAATGACAACAGCTGGAAACTTACCTGCTGAAGATAATTTTTCCATAACAGCAGCTTGAGTTGTCTAACGATTGCCATTTTCACAGATAACACGCAATTAGGCCTTTGAGAGGCTGTAAAAAAAAAAATATATATATATATATTTAAGTGTTAATGTATTCAACAATAACCCAATTTAACATCTTTGGGCTGCTTTTAATTTGGTGCTAGTTTAATCTTCTATAAAAATCAAAAATGGGAAGTAAATTGTTTTTGCTGTTGTATGTGGATTTGAAAAGTCAAAAAGCAATACAAAACGTGTAGCTAGCATATAGAGAACATACATTGGAAAAGAATTGGGTTAAGAACCGATTTAATTATGAATAGACCATTTTCATTATTATTATCAGGAGATCTTGCATTTATTCTACGGGCCTATCCATTGAATACAACCCATTTCAGACAGGTATATGCATAGACCGTCTAATCTAACCTAGCCAACGATGCTGTGTATTTCCTTGTAAACAGACGTGGCGTTTCCATTGGGCCAAACAATGCAAGGTGTATACGGTCTGTGCATCTGCATCTAACACTGTATGTGGGAATGAGGCAGCACAAGGCACATATAAAACAAAATGTCTTTATGATATACTGTGACACTATTAGATCACCATGGCTATTCTATGTTCTGCTTCTGGGAACAGAAATGGACTCACCTTTGTGTGGGAGCAGGTTCCAACATGGACTTCTCAGGCTCTTCCCGTCTTGAAAACAATCCTATCTCTTGTCTGGCCGTGCTAACTAAAGCATCTTTGCGGCGATGTTGTTATGGTGTTTTATATTGTGGCCTGGTTAGTATTGGACGGGTTTGAGCGGGTGCCAGTGTCCTCTTTTCGCCCCTTTCTCCGTCAGCACCATATCAGCGGCGGTGACTTTGCAGCAGGAACACGAAACTGATCCGAAGACAACAGAAGGCCACGTGACCAAGGCGGAAGTGTGTCACGTGACTTTAGCAACCCCCCCTCCACGTCTTATTAGTTTATGACCAGGGTTTAATTCAGAAGCAGGGCCGTTCACTGGGAACATTTATCCTATATAAGGTCAGGAGTCTAGTGATGAGAAGCACACACGCACACACATATACATATACGACTCCATATAATAGATCAGGCAGGTGTCTCCAGCAACCTTTTTGGACAAACGTGAGTTAACATAATGGTTTTCTACAAAGCATATTTTTTTATACTATAGTAATAAATAGCTTGAATTAAGATGTTTTTCTTCGTCTAAGAACAGAATAATACACTTTAGAAAAATTAAAGTAGGCTTATTTTCTTCAAATACTAGATTAGTACGAGGTCAAAATGTAAACAACTTACCGTAAAATACTATTTTGTCAATTTACTTATAGTTTAGACTTAATTTGAGTCGTTAAAAAATCTAGTATAACATATTGGTGCAGTTCAAAGAATATACAACTGCTGAATTTGAGATATTCAGAATGTGTAATTTATAAAAATCCTTTGGGGGAGTTACTTGGAAGTAGGTGAATGCTGAATGGACAGAGGTCAGCTGATGATCTATCGTATCTCATATTCAGTCAAAAGTGCTTTTGATTTGTATTCATATTTTATTTATTTACATTATTTACAATGCACTATGCTGCTTTTCACACATTTACAAATAAATTTCCCTCATAAAAAAATAATTCAAGTACAAAGGTGAAAAACAGGATCTAGAAAGTTTTTTTTGGTTTCGATCAATGTGAAAAGTTAGTGTTTGTCTGCTCTGTTACTTTACTGACATACTGACAGATTGTGTAATCAGAGGTGTTACATCTAAACACATGAAGGTTTCACCATCGTCATACCTTTTGACAGAACATTTTCACACAGCTATAACATAGCAATAGACGTTACAGTACCTTTAATATATATCTGAACATTCTAGTGACGTTCACCTGCAGTTGTACAAACATCAGTGCATTTGAACAGTGCTGAGTAACGTGGGATGGTCACAAGATTGGTCCTGAGAATTTACATCCAGTGGCTTCAGAGCTAACCAACACATTGGTTAAACTGTTTAGGCTTTGTGAGGTAAACTTTGTCCCTAAACAAAACATACTCTATATGTAATATGCATGTATTGTCATGAGGTTTTATGGACAATAACTTGTGTAGAGGAAAGCATGGGCAACCCAAGTGCTTTAATGCGACTGACCAATCTGAAATGAAATACAGAATAAGTGTATTCATAGACACCTTTCCTATAAACTGAGAAACCCAATACCATCTTCATCATAGTCGATCTTGTCCACTTCACCTCCACTGTGCGCAGCTTTATTTTTCCTTTTAACTTGTCTGCTAAAATTTCCCCGTGGGCGCTGCATGGGTACGAGAAGGCGGAAGCCAGGTTGAGCATTGGCAGAGGTCAACCCCAGGTTAGAGGTTACATTTTTCAATGTGCAGGGGATGAGTGATGAGGAGGAACATGACGAGGAAGGGCTCACACTGGAATACCCTGAACTCTGTAGGTTCACACATGTCGAAATGCGAGGTGGGCTGACGATCTCTGCAAGCTCCTGGTCGGTCTCACAGATGCTGTCATCGTCACTGGACATGGCACGACAGTGCAGCGATTTGTCATTTGCATCAGTCACAGGGTGTAGTTTAAGAGAAATCATGGAGGCTGTTGAACAAAAATGTATATATTCATCAGTATTACAAATATAAAGTGCAGATTATGTAAGCTTGTATTATTGGCAGTTTACTGTATTTAACCTGCTATAGCGCTCACACACTACTTACTGATACTGGTACTTACAATCCGCATCTTTCTCTCCTTCACTCTCCTCCTGATCCCCCTCATATCCAGAACAGGAAGTGTCCAAGCTCCAGTCCAGCATATCTCCCAGCAGTGTTTCTTCCTGGTTTGAGAGCTCAGCTGTGGGCGTAGACATGAAACTGCCTCTATTTGTGTGCACACCCTCATCACGTCTCCTGAAAATTTGCAGCGAGAAGGAGACAAGTCAGAAAAGCGCAAAGCCGATCGTACCCAAACTCTACAAGATATTTCATGGTACAAAAAGGGGAAAACTACTGCTTTTCTAGGATTTAATTGAAAGACAAGATAATCTTCTCTGTACACCTCATTTCAGTTGCACAGGTTTACCTTTTGCTGGTGCTGGATGGGGAGGCCAGGAAGGTGCAATCCTGTGCAGTGACTGTTGGACTGAGTGGTTCCTCCAGTGGCTTCTCTTCTGGGATTTCCAACATCTGACACAATTCTTTATAATCCATCACCTGCCAATTATAATCACAAGTTAATGTAGTGAATAAATTATGCCATGTGAATCATTTGTGAGTGTCCAGAAAAAGGCTATATAAAACCAATGCATCATTATAAAATTAACAAATACTCAAACCCTATGACTTGGCAATTTATGAGCAGTCTGTCATTCCCTTTTTAAATAAGTTTTGGCTTGTTTCTGCTGAATTGATAGTGCAACATTACCTTTTCTTTGCTGATGCAGTGGTAAGACTCATCTTCAAATCGTTGCTTCACACCAGTAAGAGATACGTGCCTGTAATCTTTCGGAACATCCTCACTGAAACTGTTAAAACAAATTGAATAAATAATTAGCCCATAAATATAGTCAAGCTGAATGTCTGAATGTTCTTATATGAAAGCAATAATATCCAAATTCCAACCAGAACATAGAACGACCAAATACTTTTATAAATTAACATTATCAATGTTATATGGTAGGACTCTCATCCTACAGCATATCGTGGCGTGGAACCCATAATCAACAGCACGTGTCGTAAAAACGCTGTAATAACAGAATTTAAAACGCCCACCCCATGTTTCTGGTTTGCACTAACCAGTACAAGGTGATACTTGGGACCTGCACAGTAACGTTGAGGGGGTTACCATGCCTGTCCTAATTTATGTAGTTTCTTATGTTACAATGTAAAAGCCAATTAAAACAGAAAATTGTTACTATGACCAAACCGTACCACAAGTGCGACAATATCTTTTCATTAATCACAGTGGTGATTGGGGCTGAACGATATGGGAAATTTTAATATTTTTAAATACTTTTTTGGCAAAGATCAAGCGTTTTTCCAAAAAATAACAAAACAAAAGAGGCAAGTTTTATTATCATAATTTTAATGAGAAATCTATATTGTGTATTTCCTTTCTTTTTATATCTTCAAAGCAAGTAATCTCTTATTTTTGTATTGATATAGCGCAAAATGTTATGTGAACAAATCAATTTATAGATATGTGAACAATACATCTTTCAGACCCAGTTTTTTGTGGGTATCTGCTATGTGAGCGTAAAAAAACATAGTAACTGAATACTGACATGTTTAACGAGCAGAAGGATCAAACCTTACCATTTGACAAAAAGCAGCAAACAAAGAGGAACAAGGTCGTCTTTGGAGAAGCTTGTGTAGTCAGACAGCTGCCAGGGCCAGAGAGGAGCTACAGAGAAAGTGGCGTAGGTCATAGAGTTCCATGAGATCTGTCTCGGGGTTAAACGTTGTCTACAAAAAAGATGGTTACCATAGTGATGTAGTGCTCGTGTAAGCAGCAGCGCGGCACAGGCCAGTTTGGCAGGTGGAGGTACAGAAAGAGCAGCATAGAGCAGGGACAGCTCACAGATGTAGCTGAAGAGGTGAGTGGACCTCCTCTCCAGAGGCAGCAGAGACAGCAGAACCTCTCCATAGTCCAAAAGGGTGGGGCTCTATCATTGCAGCATAATTCACTTGTCAGTGTATTTCATCACATGAATTGCTTCAAGACAGAAATCGGCATGAATATGATAATACTTACACGGATTTTTCCTTTCAGCACAGACATTACTTCTCCCATCATTCGTACCAAGTCCTCATACTTGTACGTGTTGTCCGTAAGCCAGACTGCTTCACGAATTGTTAAAATTTCTTTACTAACATATCTGTAAACAAGAATTAAGGAAAATATAAAATCAAAAGGCATTGCATGCAAAGACATGCATTTTTGGTGTGCTTTATGGACTAGTGTGTTACCTTGTGCAAACAACCATGCAGGCTATTCCCAATAACTGCAAACAAGCTTTGGGAACAGAGCGCCAGGTCAGATACCGGTCAACACAACCCACGGTCACATGCAAGGTCAGGCTGGAGAAGTCCTTCATTGTTGTTACTTCCACAAGCCAGTCAACAAGTATGTACCTGAATAATGTATGGATTATAATACAGTTTATATGACATCTCAAATACAAAAACTAATTCAAAGCAAAATTACATCACAGCTCTTCAATAACAATGAAATCTACCTCATGCTATCCTTGATCCCTCGTTTCACGATGCACAGAGAGTCAGAGCTGGATGTGTTGGAAGGACTAAAAAGCTGAGCCACTAAATCAGTGCAAGCCTTTGTTTCCAAACCCAGCGGATTTCCAACACTGCACAACTTAGCCAGGGTTAACTGAGGAAAAATAAAAATAAAATTAAGGTTAAATATAATAGATACCAGGACACAGGGAAGCAAAAAAACAAACATGACATCTGTTGCAAGACAAACATTTCAATTATTGCAATTTTGCATATACAGTAGTGATTATAGTTTCTTACTTGTGCCTGCCAGCATCCTTTGGCAGCGTAGTCCCTTAGAGTCCGCACACATTGTAGATATCTTCCAGGATCATTGCTCTATATTGAAAAACAGAATTTTTTTTAATCATGTATGATGTAGTATTCTTACACGCTACTATTTTTAATTTTCAACCTTTAACATGATTTGCACACTTCTGTCTTTTGCACAATCTGAGTGATTCTATCCATGCCAAATGTGACATGTACATTTTTCCAGTGTGAGATCAATAAAGTCTATCTTATCTTACTCTTTGATTGTATACTTACAGATGTTTTCCGATTGAGTTCCCATAAAGAGTATGAACTTTGAAGACAACCAGCCAGGGAAGATTGTACCAGCATGGCCCTTGCTTCACAGTGCTTTTTATCCTCCTTTAAAAAATAAAACAGGCGAAACTTACAAGTCAGGTAGCTGAAAGCATGCCAAAACCAATGTCCAAACACATGCAAATTATCCAGTTGTAACAATGTCAAAACTGTGTGTATGGAATCAGCTCTTTGTGATGAATAACAAAAGCCCAGGGAGGCAACAGAGAGTGGAAACAAGTTTAACTGATCATTTTGATTGTGTAAGAATGGAAAAAATATATATATTACATAAGACAAAAAGTTTTCATTCTCATTATTCAACACTCACTTCAAAGAATTGCAGGACTCGGGCCAAACAGTGTAGTAAGGGCCCTCGATTGTCCTAAAGGAAAGCAAAAAACAGAGGTAAGAAAATAGACAATGTACTTCAAATAGGAGAAAAGATGTCCTTACCTTGTTATTGTCACACTCATTCTTCATGTGGTCAAATACTACAGCTTTACAGCAACTGCCACTGGGTGACCAGGGAGGTCGGATGAACACCCATACGAAGGGGTCGGCACTCAGGGGACGCAAGACCTCAGCAACACTGAAGTAGTGGGCTGCTTTTCGGCCACAAACATCAGCTCGTCCCTCGTCACTTAATAACGCTAGTAGAAGAATATGTCAAATTATATAACGATTTCATATTTGGATTATATAATTAAGCATACAAGTACAGCTAAAACTTACGTCCTTCATTATATAAATAGGCAATTCCTAGTTTGACTGCAGCTTCAAAATTCCCTTTTTCCGCAGCTCTGAGAAGAATCAGTATAAAATGGTTATGCACGGCAATTCTTACAAATGGAAATCTTTGGTCAAAACTGTTTTCATACTTTTCAAAAAGCCATAAGGTTTTAGGAGTAGGCCAGGTATCTTTAAAACTGATCCGAGCCCAAACACTGGAATGGTCGTCAACAATTCCCCGAAGCTGAGAGTGAACCTTCAAAATGAACAAAAAGCATTCAGTTGGTACCATATGGTCACAAGATGGTAGATCAGTGCACATTTCAAGGTGACAGGTAAATACTTACAGCTCTAACAGACAGCAAGTCTTCAGCAGAGAGGCACTGGAGCACACAAAGCAAGACCTCCTCAGGAAGCGACAGTAATGTTAAAGTTGGGGCCCGCTTACGCACCCGCTTTCGAACTGGGACAGAATAACATTTGGAGCAATGGCAATGAAGAGCTGCAAAAAACATACATGAAATACACATTAACATTACTGTTGTTTTAGAATCATGTATACCCATTAACCATTTAAAAGCATTCCACATGTTGGTGAGAAGATAACCAACTAATTACCACTTGCTTGCTAAACGAATGTTGAATTTTCTGTGAGTTAGCATGCTTGCAATACATATACCTACCTTTAGGCAACTTGCATCTTTTACAGATGTAATAGTGTGTTCATTATTATGATATAGATGATTTGTTAAACAACACCAAAGAGTGTAAGCAAATGGAGTGCTATTTGATTTCTATTTATTATAACAAATTTGCTTTAGACGTAATTTTCAAATCGTGTGAGCGCCCAAATTTCCCTCCCATAGGCTTCCATTCAAATAGTTGACGTGCGGTAAGCTTATGTAATGAACATGTAGTATGAATCCTAAATAAATATTTAAACACTGGCCAATGTTTGGATGATTATAAAACATTTTAAAGTCAACAATGCCAATAATGTGTTCGTTGTCCGTTTTAATAGGACATGTTGTAACGATGTAACGCTACTCTAGCTAAACAGATTGTAATAATACTTAAATGTCATAAAATAAAGTAATTAATCTAGAAACAATAGTATGTAAGCGCTCTTGGCCAAAACACTATAATCAAAGTGAAATTTACTCACCGCTCCCTTTCATTTCAAATGTGTTGTATCTCTTTCCGATGGCTAGTGATGCAGCAGTCAGTAAAAGGCCTTTTCCACGCAAATGTAACAGCTTCAAAAAGAGAAGTTAAAAAATCTATACTTAAAAGTGGCTAATAGTGTCCTGACCAAACCAGTAATGAAGTTTTAATGTTAGAAAGCTTTTTTCCCGAATTCAAATTGAAGCACGCGTCCTCATCCTGTCCGCTCCTCCCCAATGCCCCCCGTAGGACCGCCCGCGCGCACTGTTTAAACCGAAGGCGCCTTGTGATTGGATGGAGACGCGCCCGCCCCTCTGCATCTGCGTACACAGCTGATTGGCTAGTTTGAGCAACGACAGCTCCCATTGGCCAGACTCTAAAAATACTAAAAAAGGACGGCTGTCATTGGAGAACGGAACGCGTTTTCGAAGTACGCGCTTGCCCACCGATGGACGCGATTGGTGTAAATAAATATAAAGAAAGCGAATGTCACACCTCTTTCAAAGGATTGTGGGGCATGTAGTTGTGAGCGCACGACGGTTTAAAGGTCCCTGTTTAAAGGGACACGCCCGTTGTAAAGAAAACCGCATTTAATCTGTAGTTCCAAACTGTTTCCCTTCCATAAAAAAATGAACATTGTTTGTCCCAACGTAAAGTTTCTTATAAAAGTAATATTTATAGATGCAGTCAGTGATTTTTTCCTGAAGCATTTTTTTAAATATTGTGGGAAAACGTCCCTAAACCTTATAAGTAGTCCAGTTATCATGTGTTTTCAAATAGTAATGGAATTCCTACAGTCTACAAAAATGAATACAAAATATTTTGGAGCGGGCCGATAAAAATAAACCAATGGGATTCGTTCATCCCCAACAAACTAATGGGATGCGTTTACCCCCCTTCACCCTCTTCCTGTTTCTCGCGAGTGAGCGCACCTGAGTTATCGGATTTTCTAAAACCTGACCAAACATCCATCCAATTTCTTCCCCTTAAAGGCACACCGCGGACTTTGTGACCTAAAGAGTTGACACATATGAGTTATTTTATATGAATACTTGGGCCAATATACAGCGCTTGTCACTTGCAATGCTCCGAGCGGGGCTGCCCTCTTGAAATACCGCCCATGTAACTTTCGAGCAGACGGACCGTCTGCCACCAGGTCACGTGACTTGGAAGAAACACTTGCTTTACGGCTACAGGCGCTGATATACTCATGGAGCTAAGGCTTTTGCTACTCATTTTTCACCTGCTCGACTCCTGGTCATGGCTGAGGCAAGGAAAAATTTTAAACCTTTGGAGGAGGCTAAAAAGAGGAAACGCGAAAGGGATCGTGCTGTAAGCTGCATGTCTGTATGAGCGCTGCTCTTCACCTGGTTCCTGGATGTCATCGACCGCAACGATGTCATTCCACGCAGCACGAGCTAGACGCAGAACTCCCTCATCCAGGATATAGAAGTCCATGTGTGGTAGATTACTAATGCAGCGGTCTGGAGGCTGACCACAGCAGAGTCTCTCAATATCTGTAGGCATGTCTCTACAGTTTGAACACACACACCAGTGCATGCTGTCTGAATACACACTCAAAAGACACCGGCTGACTGTTTGTTGACTTTTGCGACAGTGCTGAGTTGCTTGTGGCCACTAGGGGCGCTAAACGTGAAAGTTGCAGGTCTAGCGCCCCTAGTGGCCAAGAGTTACACGGTGTGCCTTTAATCCATTTCTGGGTCGGGGAGGGGAGGGGGGGGGGGGGTCGGGGAGGGGAGGGGGGGGGGGTGGGGGGTGGCAGTCAGAGCTGCACCCAGTCACAGAGCACCAGCCCCTCACTGATCCTCCTGCAGGTGGTGAGTCCACAGGAGCTGAGATCTTTCAGTGGGGTTAAGTGTCTAGCCCCAGGACACAACGGCAGCAGACATCAGTGGGAGTCAGTGGAGAAGGTGTCGAGGTGGGAAACAAACCCACAACCTTCAGGCCTAAAGGCCAATACGCTACCAACTGAGCTTGCCCCTGACCAAACCGAAAATGCCAATTTCACGTTTGCCACCCACTCTCCCTGTTGTGACCAGTGGGGGCGGGTCCCGGCTCAAAAGTGGCCAAAATGAGTGCGCTGACATGCTTGCAATACAACCCCGGGCCGATGGGGGTGGACCCGGAATAAGAATTAGCCAATGCTAACATATAGCATCTTCTTAATTTTTTTGGACCAGTCTAGTTTACTCGCTGTGAATTTTTTAAGTCACTTGTTTAAATGAATGGGGCTTGTGCCGGCTGACGCATGCGCAGATGCGTTTTTTCACATTTTCCAGCCACCGCGGCCATTTTGAATCACTTCATGAAAGCCCACTTTTTTGGCCCATTAGTTAGAACGGTGGAGATAGGCGTGACTACGTCCGTTAATATATACAGTCTATGGTTGTGACAAAGAAAAGAAAACGCTGGTTGTTTGGTTTGGTGGCGAGGTGATGGGAGGGGGGAGTGGTTTCAAGTTGGTGCTAAGGCTAAGCTAACAAAATTGCTTACTGCACCTTTAAATAAATGACAAAAATCGTGATATGTGTTCGTCACATGACAAGCTCCCCACTATTTGACTCTTTGCGATGGGAAATACAAAAGTTAGGTACCCCAGCTTCAAATTAAATCATCAAATCAATTCATGTTTGTATAGCCTAAGTTAGTGATTTACCAAAAGCCGATAAGCATATTGAACAAATGTTCACAAGAAATCGGGCCTGTGTACAGTTAATGCCCCAGGTTATCCTTTCTTTGCCAACGATTGAACTATCTTTGTTAATGACTTTGATCCAGGATACTGTCTCTTGGTAGCTTTCAGAATGATTGAATCAAGTACAATGCCCATTATAACAACAAACACTGATTGTTGAAGCAGAAAATACTCTGATTACAGTAGAAGCCAATCAGAGAAAACTATTGTCTTGTCTAATCTTTGTATAAAACCATATCCTTTTCTGTGTTATGTTACTTTGATAGTAATTCTATTTGTGTGTATTGCAATGCAATCAGCAGATATTGTAATATGTGTTCCTTTTGTGGCTTGAAGATGGTTGAATACACCAGTAAGATTGCTCCAATCAATCACGTGATTGATTCTGCTTCTGTAGAATACATCATTAATGACAACAAACCAATGGCATCTCCATAAAAACAATGCTTCAAATTTGGAACTGCGCATCTTTGAAAATGCATTTTGGCTGCTTGTTAGCTTGGATCTACTTTGAACTCCATCTATCTTCATTGGAATGCTCCATGGTATGGCATTCAACCACCCATCTACAATGCAGGCACCACTGGTTAACCGTATCTGCAGAGATGCATGTCCACTCACTTAAAAATCATGTTTCTGTGGTCGTTCTCTGCACAGTGTACCAAGGCAACATGTTATTGTCCAATCCAGTAAAAACCCTGATACAATACGGATTGCGATGCTTTATTGAGACACAATGTCTTCCAATTGATTCTTAGATACGTTCAGCATCATAATAGAAATCCAAAGCCCAGTCTAGTTTATGAAATTAGCGTGTAATATACTTGTTTTGATTCTTGAAGATAAATATTTGCGTACATTTGAATGAAATTTGAATGAGCCTTGTCACCAAAATGATACTCCAAGAAGGAATAAAAACAGATATGAAAATCCATCCATCCATTTTCTACCCTTTAATCCATTTCTGGGTCAGGGGGGTGGCAATCAGAGATGCCACCCAAATCTCATAGCACCAGCCCCTCACTGACCCTCTGCAGGTGGTGAGTCCACAGGAGGACGGCTGCTCTCTGACTGTGAGCATAGCCTTGATCTTTCAGTGGGGGCTTTGGGCAAAGTGGGGTTAAGTGTCTTGCCCAAGGACACAACGACAGCAGTCATCAGTGGGAGTCGATGGAGAAGGTGCAGAGGTGGGAAATGAACCCACGACCTTCTGGCCTTAAGGCCAATGCTCTACCAACTGAGCTACTGTCGCCCCAGATATGAAAATAAGGGTATGAAATGGTAAAGGGGCCATTTTTTGTACGAGTATATATTTCTGACAAATAAGAACTATCAAATATAGTTGATTGCAAAAATAAAAAATGATTGATAGGTACCTGTATTTCACAGTATTTTTACTTGTACTTTGTGTTTTTCCACTATAATCTATCCACCTGTAGAGTCTGCAAATATGGATTATGTTCGATCATTAAAATACATACTTTTAGCTAATGAAACATGGTTCATCATAATGCATTTATTAAACACAACTGGTATGTATTTAAGTGAAAATTTACAGTACAAATATAAAATGTATACAGAAAAGGTTAGATTAGAATCACCACTGAGTGTGAACATCAGAATCAGCGCACAGCAAGGCTACAGAGATGGGGGAAAGATCCCCCGCAGCATAGAGGTAGACATTCCCTTTAAGTGAAGGCAGACCCACGTTTACTCCCACAATAGGCAACAGCATTACATTCAGATACAAATATGTTTCAAGCATAATGCACTTTAACAAAAAATATTTTCTTGCGATAAACCATCTAAGACACAATCACATACAAAGCATTTTGAATGCAGACCCACATTTAACTTTGAACATATACAGCTGCTCACAAAAATACCATGAACTGTGTTGTCTTAGTGTTTCACAATCTGATCTAATATTTAACAATATTTATTTCTCTGACATTGTGGGTTTACATATGGAAAAGATAAACATTGCTTTAGCTTATTTTCACCGTGTTTTAATGACGTCTGTTACTAGGGGTGCTACTATCCCATAATGCCCCAGGTCTCTTCAAGACCATTGTTCCCATTTTTACCTCACATAACTCCCTAACTCCATAACAGTTGCAATGTCACAATAGCTCAACCATCTCACAAACATACCTAAGTGACCATCTACCTCAAAAGTGCTCCAAGCTGTATCTGCTCAGTTGCCACTTGCAGTCTGATAATTAGTAAGACGTGCTTCAGAGTCTTTGGCATCTTGTTAACAGCTTACAATTGATGCATAGGCACATTTCTGCTCAGCAGCAAGTGACACGAATCATTTAGCCAAAATCAATGCATGAGTGATCAATGAAAGTTTAAAAGATTATTTCAGGTAACTATTCTAGACAGACAATTGTATTCTTGTTCTCTACAATGCATATTTGTTTTACAACAAAGTAAGAGTCAGTGATATTCATAACTGCTAGGCTACTCATTTTGAAAACAGTGGATGAATTAATAACACGCTGGTAACCTTATCATTGAGTGCCAATGAAAGATACTGCCTGCCATTCTCAGCTGTGGCTTAGGGCTCATATGGGGGTGACGAGATGAGTCTGAAGTGTAGAAAATTGCAGATTACATGTTTTTGTCATGGTACATCTTTTAAATAGTTGTTAACAACAGCAATGTTAAGGTACTGATGCCCCAATACGTTGTATTAGGTTCCAAAAAAATGGGGCAATAAACATGAGAAGTATGAAAAGCTTGTCAGTAGTAGTACTAAAGTATATTTTATATGATTCAAAAACATATCTGGAAATGGGAATGTGACAGTCTTGTTCCTTTTGTTTGAGGCATTTACAAAGAAGTGTTTCAGATTAGAGTATTGGTTACAGTTAGCTGTACTGACAGGAAACCAGGCAATGCCCTTTAGTAATCCCACTCTGCCTATTCTCTTGTGAAGAGATCCACACAGACAAAAGACAAGTGGTCAGTCAGTCCCTTAGCTGTTTTGTCTTTTGAGCTGTAGCTATAAACTGGTATCTTGATAAAACCCAAATGTGCAAATCTTTGACAAACTAAGTTCATCTGTTTTTAGACTCGCATAACAAGTTGGTCTCAAAGCCTTCCTCCCTGCAGATTCCAGCAAGATCTTCAACGACTCAAGTTCCACTGTCCCATTGCGTAAAAAGCCCCCCTGCACATTGCTGCGGTGTCACAGGATGAGTGAATGACGCTGGCCGTTGACGCTGTTGCACAGCCTGTTTGGATGGGTGTTGAGTTTCAGTCTTTGGCCCACTTCTGGCCTTAGAGGGTCACCTGTTCCAGCAGTAGGAATGCTGTGACTGACGTCCCTTGTGACGTGAGCATTTGCTCCAGCAGCAGCTCTGCATAGCATCTTACACACTCTGACCTCTGGAGAGAAGTACGAGAGTCACATTTCTGAGCATGTAAATATGTTTGCAGTGTGCAATACATATTTTTGAAGGGTCTCCTCTTAGCTTGTTTTGACACTGGATACTTGTCTGATAATGCAGTGTTGTTTAGACCTCCATGTGCAACTCGAATTAAACTCCTCTGAACAAACAAATCCACGCAACGTGCAGTCTTTCTTTCTTTCTATAAATGCATTTTGATTACATACTCACTTCATTTTGTCAGTCTCTGTGCCAGTCAAAGAAAGTATTGGCAGATGCTTTGTACAACTTGTGTTTTATACATTTCCTTTAAGCTTCATAGTTGGCACTGTTCAGAATTCAATGAGACGGCTTCCTTCTTTTTCTTCCTTTTCTTCTTATGAACAGTCCAACAAGCAGTGGCCATTACCAGGAGAAAAAAGCCCAAGAAAAGTAGTAACACAGACACCACCTTAGTTTGAGGCAGGTCATTGTACGTGTAAGTTACTCCTGTTCCAGCTGCACCAATCACCATGGAGATAATTCCAAAGGGAAAGATGCAGCGGTACCAAGATTTCTCCATTCCTCCGGTGGCTTGAGATAGACGCTCCAGGGATGAAAGTACCTCTGGGACTTTCGCAGCCTCCATGGAGTGAGTCTCATTTCCTAAGGTGGTTGGCGGGTTAGATTGGTGAGCCAAGTGGCCAGTGGCACAGCCCATGCCGAGACTGTGGGCTGACAGATCAGTAACCACTCCGACCTGGAGACACAAGATATAGACAGAAAATATAACTGGCTTATAAATAATACAAGAGGAGCTTTTGATTTAGTGCAGAAAATCCACTCACACTTTCCCTTGCTCTGTGATACTCTCTGGCTCTTTCTCTGCACTGTGCCTGCTAACGCTCTGGCAGCACATTGTACACTATGCTGAACGGAGAGAAGGAGGATATATAAGCCTGTGGATAGGGGAGGGTCTAACAAGGAAATGAGCAAATCAGAGGGCTCTGATCTGAGCTCTTTTATACTACGTCAGCAATTGAAGAGGAAGAGGAGACGGGGGGATGGGGCGCACCACTCCTGAGAGTCTCCCCATCCTTGTATCTCAAAGGGAAAGCCTGTCAATGTGCCCAAGCACATATTTACATTTGATTTAAAAGATCCAACTTTAAAATGCTATTGATACTCAAAGTACTAAATTTTTTTTGTTTACTAACGTGAATGTATTTTAAGGCCATCTTTACCCCTTGCACAAGGTCTACAGTTGAAAATTAGCTTTGTAGATAATACTGGTACTTATAAAAAATAAATAGAATGTAAACCTAAAACCCATTTGATGGGTTGCACAACTCATTTCACTGAAACAGTTAAAATCGATATGTTTTTTGTATAACTTGACCTAGTTTTTAAATGTTATCAAAGTTTATGTATAATTACTTCCTGGTTTGACGTAAGCAGCTGATGTGACATAGGTAGAGGGAGTTACCATAGGAACCACAAAGTAAAATGCAACAAAACTCTATATATCTTTATATTTTTTAATGAATGAATGCATATTTTCTTTGGGTTGGATGACATACATGTAGAAATTCCATTTAGAACATTTTAATCAACTTTTGGTCACAAATTGCCAATGGTGTGAAAAGACAATAACAGGGGTTCTGACCAGTGGGGGTGGGTCCCGGATCAAAAGTGGCCAAAATGATGACATGCTTGCAATACCACCCCGGGCCGATGGGGGTGGACCCGGAATAAGAATTAGACAATGCTAACATATAGCATTAACAGACCCCTCGAAAAAACATTTACAGGATGGTCCAAAAGTTGGCTCTTGGCCCAAAGCTCCGTTCCACATGTGTGTCAATGCTGAAGGGGGTGATTTTTTTTGGACCACTCTAGTTTACTCGCTGTGAATTTTTGCAAATTTTTTGGCCCATCAGTTAGAACGGCGGAGATAGGCGTGACTCTGTCCGTTAAAATATACAGTCTATGGTTTTGACCCACAAATAAAAGTCATCATATTTAAAAAAACTTCACACATGTAAAGTATGTGTGAAGTTTCAAAACAAACAAAAATAATTAAACAATTATAATATTTTTATGGTAAGCCCGTTTTGTGTTGGGTGTGTATTTGTTGTGAAAAAAAGGGAATTTCCGCTACCATTTTTATTTGAATGAGATGAGCAAAAGTTAGCCCGTCTAACTTTTGCTCATCTCATTCAAATAAAAAATGGTAGCGGAAATTCTCTTTTTTTTCATAATACGCACCCAAAACAAAATGGCCAAATAATCAACTCAAAAACAGTTTTAAGTTTAATTTATTAAGGACAGTGTGCAGTTGCATCTAAAGGATGGCTGCACCAGATTAAGCACCATCCTACCATCTGTAGTCCTAACTACTTCTATTGGACAAAGTGGCAACAGAATTTTGTAGATCTTTATGAGGATAAATATGCACCACTAATAATTCTGCATTGAGACAAAACAAGAACCAAAAAAAGACTAAGCTAATGGGTGAGTACAGGAGATCTAGATCTATTTTAAGGACTCAACGCTCAAAAAACAACAGCAATTAGCAGCTTTAGAGAAAAGGAGGACAAGTCAATATTTCAGTAAAATTTACTGAAAAAGTATAATTTGTGTTCTCTCACAGAAAGCTTAGAGAAAAGCAGCACCCCGAGAGCATCCTCTATGACTCACCCTACTCTGCCAGGGCTCAGGATGGCTGCTACACCCACGGCCTGCTGTGTGAACCCAGCAACACCTGTCAGCCAGTCTGCTGCAGCTCGTGCCATCCGCTCATCATCTGTGAGCTTTTGCAGTGATGCAGGCCACACCAATCAACTCCCGACACTCACAAATACGCCAACAGACGGTTACAACGTTGCCAGATCAGAGTTTATGGACCATCAGCATAGACTGCTAAACCAAACGTCAGCAGCTAACAACGCACAAATTCATGGGAAAAAGAAACCATAAAATGTGGTCAAATTGTGAAAAAGTACACTTTAAGATACAGCCATAGACATCTATAATTAGCTTGACCACTGCATAGATCGAGTGTCATATTTCAAGTGTAAGACTAAGGATCGAATACTGGATGGTTTCCTTCCTGAACGGTGAGATGATTTTAATAAATCAGTAACCTAATATCAAAATTACCATATTTAACTCCTTTATCCATAGAAAGACTTATTTTTCATAAATGCATGCAGTAAAATTTGTGGTAATTATTTTTAGCAATTGAAATTTAAACCAATTCAGGAGGTCAGAAATATACTTACAGGGTCCACTGTGTATTCTCAGGAGTCAGGTTCAGAGTCAAGTACTAAAGCAGGAAACCGCTCCCCTCCTTCCCCCAGCACAGAATAAAGATCTCTCAGAAGACTGGGATTTAATGGTCCTCGTATGACTGAACAAAATTGTGGAGACAAAGTTTCTGACAAGGTCTGTCAGAAAGAATAATTTAGTACAATGTTTACATTAAAAGTTTTTACTTTTAAAAAACTACAGCCCTTACCGTTTCTAGACAAAGCTCCTGTTGCAGCAGTGCTACACTCATCCTCAGCGTCCCCAGCGCTGTAAGCTCTCTCTCTGTTGAGTATGTAACGGTCATGGGCAGAGGTGCCGTTCTCCCTTCATCCCTCACATCGTCAGCCCTCGTGAGGCAAAGACCACCCCACACTGGCCTCCATCGATCCCATGATTCCCACTCTAACGGAAAATATGGTTATATATAGAGTGTGAGCGTGAGCAACCGTACCCTAAAACCTTTTCTCCGCTGCTCCCTCAGCTTTAAATAGCAAGGCCCTTGCCTCGCCACGTCAGGATAGACAGCTTTAAAACCCTACCACCAGGAGGGGGTTTGTCAAGGCCAAAGAAAGTACAGCGCTGGCAATGAGCGCTCACTGCAGCTCTGTTTTCATTTTCCATGCACCATAATAGAGAAGTTGCATTAGCTCGTTAGCACTACTCATTTGTTGCAATGACTTTTCAAAAACTATTTATATGTATTTATATTGGAAATGTTTGTCAGAACTGAGAACCACTCACCCCCATCCAGGATGCATGGGCAGCTGTTCAGTACTATGATATAAAGACTTACGACATATCTAACGTCCAGGGTAAACATACACAAACAAAAACCCTGAAGGTCAGACAAGAGGCAATTATGGAAAATCCTCTTAGCTTCATATTTGTATCAGTATAACGCTACCTACACATAGATATTGGTCAGACTTGATGTAAAATGTGGTAAAGAGAGTTACATTTACTTTAACCGTAGGTTTATGGATATCATGAATATCATGAGGTGTCATAGAAAGCCTTTCATATTTCTACTGATAAACATCAACAAAAAGACAGATAATATAAAATGCAATAATTAAAATGTTGATTTAAAATATACAGAGTTGTTAGGCTGATAGTTACCTTGCTTTGAGTCATGTTCTGGTGTCTGTAGATCATCTGGCTGTCCGTCTGGAGAATCTTGCCTTTGTTGAGAGGGCCTGTTCACCAGAGCTTGAATTCTTTTCATGCTACTACATGGCCGTATCCCGGGGAACTGAGGGTCAAGATGGGAAATTGAGAATTCAGATGGCGCAATAGACTAATTATGTTCTATCAAATCTGACACGCAAATAGTACAGCATAAAAAATGAAATGTGTCTGGTTGGCTTGAGGCCATGTCCACACAGAGCTGTGCGCTATCTTAGGAATTTCCAGAAAAAAATATTTTGTCTAATTCAAGCATCGTCCACATGGACGCAGAGTCTGAAACTGACACTTTTGAGGAAAAGTCCCACAATTCAAAACTTTCAACTAGTTGTCTCCACATCTCCTTTATCATGTCGGATGAAGTTTCACATTATGACATACAGTGCCTTGTGAAAGTATTCGGCCCCCTTCAACCTTTCAACATTTCGCCACATTTCAGGCTTCAAACATCAAGATCAATCACACAATCGTGAAGTGGAACAAAATTTATTGGATAATTTAAACTTTTTTAACAAATAAAAAACTGAAAAGTGGGGCGTGCAATATTATTCGGCCCCTTTACTTTCAGTGCAGCAAACTCACTCCAGAAGTTCAGTGAGGATCTTTGAATGATCCAATGTTGTCCTAAATGACTGATGATGATAAATAGAATGTACCTGTGTGTAATCATGTCTCCGTATAAATGCACCTGCTCTTTGATAGTCTCAGGGTTCTGTTTAAAGCGCAGAGAGAACCATGAAGACAAAGGAACACACCAGGCAGGTCCGAGATACTGTTGTGGAGAAGTTTAAAGCCGGATTTGGATACAATAAGATTTCCCAAGCTTTAAACATCTCAAGGAGCACTGTGCAAGCAATTATATTGAAATGGAAGGAGTATCAGACCACTGCAAATCTACCAAGACCCGGCCGTCCCTCCAAACTTTCATCTCAAACAAGGAGAAGACTGATCAGAGATGCAGCCAAGAGGCCCATGATCACTCTGGATGAACTGCAGATAACTACAGCTGAGGTGGGAGAGTCTGTCCATAGCACAACAATCAGTCGTGCACTGCACAAATCTGGCCTTTATGGAAGAGTGGCAAGAAGAAAGCCTTTTCTGAAAGATATCCATAAAAAGTATTTTAAAGTTTGCCACAAGCCACCTGGGAGACACACCAAACATGTGGAAGAAGGTGCTCTGGTCAGATGAAACCAAAAATCGAACTTTTTGGCCACAATGCAAAACGATATGTTTGGCGTAAAAGCAACACAGCTCATCACCCTGAACACACCATCCCCACCTCAGCTGCAGTTATCTGCAGTTCATCCAGAGCGATCATGGGCCTCTTGGCTGCATCTCTCATCAGTCTTCTCCTTGTTTGAGATGAAAGTTTGGAGGGACGGCCAGGTCTTGGTAGATTTGCAGTGGTCTGATACTCCTTCCATTTCAATATAATTGCTTGCACAGTGCTCTTTCAGATGTTTAAAGGTTGGGAAATCTTTTTGTATCCAAATCCGGCTTTAAACTTCTCCACAACAGTATCTTGGACCTGCCTGGTGTGTTCCTTTGTCTTCATGGTTCTCTCTGTGCTTTAAACAGAACCCTGAGACTATCAAAGAGCAGGTTCATTTTATTTATCATCATCAGTCATTTAGGACAACATTGGATCATTCAAAGATCCTCACTGAACTTTTGGAGTGAGTTTGCTGCACTGAAAGTAAAGGGGCGGAATAATATTGCACGCCCCACTTTTCAGTTTATTTGTTAAAAAAGTTTAAATTATCCAATAAATTTCGTTCCACTTCACGATTGTGTCCCACTTGTTGTTGATTCATGACAAAAAATAATTTTTTTATATCTTTATGTTTGAAGCCTGAAATGTGGCGAAATGTTGAAAGGTTCAAGGGGGCCGAATACCTTCGCAAGGCACTGTATCTCCAGCTTGGCCCTTGTTCTGTAATATGTATTGACCTTTATATGTTTTCTGCAAAATACACCCTCCACTAATTTATTACTGAAGCTTACTGTGGACGCATATATTTATGTATTTACACAATACATGTTTTAATCTAAAAGTCATTGGTGTTTTGTGTTTGGTGAAAACATACCATGCCTCTCATTCTTGTTATGAACTGATCCCTCCCACTCACAGGTTTCTTCTCCAAGGCTAGAACCTTGTCCCACAACCTAATGGACAGATGTCTATAAATATAATTGCATTTTAAATTGAAAACATAAATAAAAATAACAACTGTACCTAATTTCCTTGTGTTTGAACTGTGTCCATTTTATAACCTCTTGCTGAATTAAATGTGTTTGTTCTGGCTCCATAGTTTTTGAAAATGACACAGGGTTACATGTTGAAGAGTCTGTTAAAGCTTTTGATTTTTTGTCACTCAATTGACTTTCTTTGATTGTCTTTTTTTTAGATCCACGCGGAAGTCTACAATTTGGTCGTCCCTGTAATTTACCAGACGTCGTATTTGCATTTAAAAAGGAACTTGAAATGTTGTCTTTTGGAGGATTTGTCGGCACATATTTTAAGACATCACCAGGTTTGGTGCTGGGAGAATGATGGTCTTTTGACTGATAGTTTCTTTGCTCTTTTTGATCAATTTTTTTGGAGATCATTTTATGTTGTGTTTGCGCTCTAGATGATTTGATGGAATCTTTGAACGTAGCATTTTGCTCGATTTGAGTTTTTGATGATTTGGCAGTTCTGTGTCTTGAGCCTAGTTCTTGAACATGGCGAACTTGCAATGCTTTTTCAAGAGCTTTTTCGAGAAGATCCATTTCTTCTTTATCCACTATTGATGCATCTGAAAACATGAGTACATGAATAGTTTAATATAGATTCCAAATGTCATATTGTTTTTGTAATTAATTTTTTACCAAACCTGTAAGTAGATTCTCTTCTGGCAGAAGACAAGGAGACGATCTTGGCTGGGTTTTTCTGTTAGAGTTAGATATGAATACAGAAGAAAACGGGAAATCATATACTTATTCCTAATGCATTATGAATATGTGATCAAAAAGGCACTGCTGGGATTCGAACCCAGGATCTCCTGTTTACTAGACAGGCGCTTTAACCAACTAAGCCACAGCGCCTCCCAACGCCGGGGAGCGTAAAATGTATTTTTGAAACGTTGCCAGGCAAGCAATTTGTCACGTTTACTTACAAGACAGTAATTTCTGTGCAGAGTTGAACTGCATGGTAAATCCTGGCTTGTTCTTCTGTTCTTGATTTCAAGATCCCCTCAATGGTAGTATAAAGTGCCATTTTCAACTGATGCTGCGGAGTCCTGTTAACTAATGTATAAAAACGACCGGCCAAACCTATGCAAAGACAAAAGGAAATCAACGACTAGTTAAATGTATGTATGACATGTAGAATATTGTATTTAAGGGGCAATGGTTTAACGTTAAAGGTAACTCACGCAAGAGAGTTATGGCCGCGCATTCAAATGAAGCAGGAAGTACAATTTACCAAACTGGAAGAGTTCAGAAAGGACCACTTTCATAATATTTAGGCCTGGTCATCGCTTTATCATTTTCTCATCCCTCTAGATAGTTATAATCGGTCCACTCATAAGAAGGATGCAAAAGTCGAGAAAGTTCAATTTAGCTAAACTTTACCCCCCTCCAAATCGCGGAGATCACGCAACCACATCTCGCGTTATTTTGTTGCAGAACTTTCCCGTTTTTTTAATATAATAGATAGTAGATTTGAATATATTGGCGTTTAAGTGAGCTTTTTTTCAGTATGTCTGTATTTTTAGTAAAAAGAGAAATTATAAAAAACTGTGATGTGTTCTAAAAGTTGGACCGATTTCATTAGGGGTTTGGAGTAAAAGTAACTTATAGTTATAAATACAGTAACATCATAATGCAAATGTCCAACAAATTAACCAAGTGACTACACATGTTACCATTTAGAAAGGTGGGTGCAATTTTATTTGATGGCACATAGCGCATCATGTATAATCCACGAACAGCATGTGTGAATCACAAAAGGCGTTATCAAAGGTGCTCTGCACACACCCAAAGAAATGGACGACCCACTTGTTTTTGGCATGTTTGTTATTGCATATAATCTATCTCGTAAAGTAAACATTTGAAAATCCTTACTCTCGCACACAAGGGCACTGTGTGTGAGAATCGTGGTGAGAGTATGTGCGCAGAAACAGAAGCTGTCACTCAAAGCAAGTGAAGTCAAATGAATTGAGTCCTCATCAGCCAATGAGAAGCGCGCTCCACATCCAGGACTCGCTGTGTGGTCACGTGACACCGGCTGGAGGGGGCTCGTTGTTGCGTAGTTGACTTCACTCAAGTTAAAGTTCTTTTCGTAACTGTCCACATCCACTGCACGCCTCAAGGTCTGTTCTCTTTACTTAGTTCAAATGACCACTGCATCGTTTGTGACACGGTTGTAGGGATTTGTATTCCGTTTATTTGACGTGTGTTATTAATGCTAGCTGGCTGATAGCATGTGAGCTAACGCAACCATAGCATAACAGATGACCCCCAGTCAATAACAGATTCAATAACAACAATGATCCAGTCAATTAATGCGATCCTAGTTCCTTCCCCAACACGGTCCCTAAGAGTCGGTGTGTCCATTGTTCTCTTATATAGTTAAGCTAATTGTTCATTTTCTGGTGAAAGTCAAAAGGCCTGTGGCTTGTTATTGTTCTGCTTTTGCTGGTAAGCGCTAGTTAAAAGTTGTCGTTGCGCGAGAAACTCGAATGGGTTATGTGTTTATTACAGTGATGTGTTTCCAAAAGTAGAGCTCTTTAGTTTGGGCCTTCAGGATAGCTAACGCAGGTACAGGTTCTTAGATGAGTTTAGAGATCATAATTGGTTGTAAACATAGTCTAATTTGGTGTATAATTGATTCAAACGGTTTAATCAACCACAAGTTTAATATTTACAGTCTATGGTTTTGACTCTGTTTTGTTTTCATCCTATAGAACATGGATACCGGTTCAAGTACTGCCAATGGGTATGAAGATAATGAGGATCTCAGGTAAATTATAACTCACTGCAATAGTGTTTTTTCAATTCATAGAATAAAAAAACTCTTTCCCTTTAGTCCAGAAGATTTGTCAGAAATGCTGGGTGCAGGAACTCGTGAAATTCATGAAAAGGCTGAAAATTCACAATTTGTGAAGGATTTTCTTAGGGGTAACATTTGCAAAGAGCTATTTAAGGTGATAGACTTGGATTTGTGAAATATATTGCGACTTTGCCAAGTAATTTGCAAATGTTTTTTTCCCCTTCTTAGCTTGGCGTTGTGGCACTATACTACACTTACACAGCATTGGAAGAGGAAATTGAGAAGAATAAAGATCATCCTGATTTTGCTCCTTTATATTTTCCATCAGAGCTGCATCGTCATGACGCCTTGACTCGTGACATTGAATTCTTTTATGGTCCTGAATGGAAAAGCCAAATTAGCTGCTCTGAAGCCACAAAACTGTATGTAGAACGCATTCATAAAGTGGGACAGGAGGACCCAGTGTTGCTGGTGGCTCACGCCTACACTCGCTACATGGGAGACTTGTCGGGAGGTCAAATCTTGAAGAAGGTTGCACAGAGGGCTCTCAAGCTCCCACCTACAGGGGAAGGCCTAGAGTTCTATCATTTTGAAGGCATTCATAGCGCCAAAGCATTTAAACAGCTTTACCGCAGTCGTATGAATGAACTAGAGCTGGACATTGATACAAAGAAAAAAGTTGTGGCTGAGGCTGTTGAGGCCTTCATCTTAAACATACAGGTATACTAGTACTTATGATCATGATGCTAATTGTACTGTTGACTCAAGTGAGTCATGAAATTACATTGTTTAACAAAATATTGCCTCATTCTTAAACTCAACATTAAGCGTTCTAATGTTTTGTTGACAGGTATTTGAAGAAATAGACAAGGTAGGTAAGAGCATCCCCAGGGAGGTTCTGGATGCCAGCGTGTTCCATCATGGAGCAATGGAAGGAGACATTAATAAATGTCCTTACTATGCTGCCAAGATGGGTAAGTGTATAGACCCTTCAACCGTTGAGATTGAATTTATTTTTTATTTTTAAGCTTTGTCCTTGGTTTTGTTTTGTAGCAGCCTCGGGAGGAAAGGCATATGCTGGTCAACTCGCCATGGCTGTCCTCAGACACCCGACTGGACAGGTCTTCTTTGCTGCTTGGTTTGCGGCTTTGGCTGGGCTGGCTGCATGGTATTTAATGTGATGTACAGAAACTTAAAGACTGTTTTAGTCCTAGTTCTAAACTCTAAACCTTTTTTGGATTAGATGTAAAATAAAACGTGTAGAAATCAAACATGTTAACACTTAAGACTGTAATAACGGTTAATGAGGTGTTGTAAATGCGTATTATGCAAAGTAGGAGTGGACTATATGGCAAAAACAAATGACAAATTGCAGTTTTATGATCCATGCAAAAAATCTTTAGAATTTACAGGCAAGATTTGTTAATCCACCTGTCACTCATGGAGGTACACTAACAGGGTATACAAAGTTTGCAAAATGCCTTAGCACTGAGCAGTATTTTAAAAAAAGAAAAACAAGATTTCATAAGCAAATTGTCATGATCACAGAATATATTTTTGTCATCATATTGCCCAGCCCTAATGCAAGGGATGTACGATCTTATTTTCAAAATGACAAGTTAACTAAAATATACAATGTGCATTATAGCAACTCAATGCAAGGATTAGTTTTAACATTTGGCTAATTTAAAATAATTTCTAACTATTGTAGGTGGTTAAGGATTGAATGCCAAAATTATTTCATTGTCTTCATTTTTGCACAGAACCCAATAGCAGGTGTTAAATGCATTTCAGCCAGATACTGTTGATTTTGAATCTTGTGCAGTGTTTGCATCAGTAAGCTATGTTTCGGGTCAAACTTGATTTACTGCAGAACAATGTATTATAAATTATGCATCAGGAAATAAATGTCACTTTTACCTTGTATTTGTCTACATTTATTGCTGAAATGTTTATCTAAGTTTTAAAACTTTGTTATACCAGACAGTTTGGAAACCATAATTTTATTAGATGTACATATTGTATAGATTTGACGATTCACAACATTATTTACAGCGACTTAACGGGGAGTCTCTTTGGGGCCAGTTCGGAACCAAATAAGTGCCATACAATTATATTAAAACCTATTATATCTGTTGCACTTAACACATTGGGACAAATGTTTCCCCTTGTTTAATGCAGGCACATTACAACAGTTTATATCCTCCATTGGCAGTGCGACCTCCAGCTCCGTCCAGTCAGTTAAATGACCTTTTACCTTCAAAAACACACAAGAGGAATTTAAACTCAATGATTCATCAAAATTCTGCAAACAGAACAGTGAAACGTAACGTTCTAACCCATAATCAACAAAATACCTCAATGTAAAAAGTTAAATATACACATAACTACAGATGCACAAGATGTAACCAAGCCTTCAAGTAAAATAAGCATTAAGTGATCCTTCTAAAACATTTCCTAATTACTAGTCTATTAGCATCAACCTTGTATATTTGCGGCATTTAAAGAAAATAATAGGCCATCACTCAGTCAGACTTTGAAATCAATCCACCACAGAAAACGCTCCTACAACTCAAAACTTTGAAACGGGAATTCAAATTTGTTAAATTTGGATTGGTATTTTTAAAAAGTAAATAGTTTTATTTATTTTTATGTGCCAATGTTTCAGTCTAACATATACTATCGTGACAGCCACAAACTAATATACCCTATACATTCTTACTCCCCTTAATTTAAAATCCTACCTGATTTGTGGCTGTCAGGAGTTAAACAGTTTCTTTAATTTAGAGAAGAATCCCCCCTCTTGTTTCAAATCTCCTTCCATTTCGACATTCCTGCTTTCATTGACAGAACCTTTAGCACTGCCCCCACCTGGACACAAATTGACACTACATCAACTAAGTTTTCCACTTCAAAATAAAACAATCTTCTCTGAATAGTTTTAAGTAAGTGAAAAAAGATGCGTGATGTGTCCTCATACCTGTGGAGGTTGCAGTGACGCCGTTTACGGTTCCTTCTACATCCGTTTCCTCCTCTGCGTAGCTCATTACTAGCGTCCTCTGCCTGTCAGTGAGGGACCTGCAACAAGTAACTCGTGTTAAATGAAATGAAAACGTGTCAACAAACGTACATGATGTTTTGTATATGTATTGCAGACGTACTTGGGAACTCTGATTTTAACATGAATATAGTGGTCACCGAAACCATAACCACTGATACGAGCAATCCCCTTTCCTCCCATACGGATCTTCTGGTCAGCCTGGCAACCGGCAGGAATCTACAAGCACAAGTTGATATTTACATATTTTCGGATCTAAAAATGTTCAAATCCCGCTGCTATAATACACGATTAAACTTACTGATAGATTAAGAGTTTCATACAAGCCCTGCGCTCTGGCTGTCCCTCCAAGAATAGCTTGTGCCACAGAGATGAAAAGATCAGAGTGTATGTCAGCTCCCTCCCTTCTGAATATTGGACTTCTTTGGACCTAGAAATCAAATGGGAAAACAATATTAATTAACCTTAGTTCGTGTCAATCAGTAATTATGACGATGGAATACTTACCCTAAATGTGATAAAGATTTCCTTTTTACCCACTGGCATTCTAACTGTTTGACCATCTTCAACACCTACAAAACACATCATAAACTTAGTCTTGCTGAGGTGTGTTTACTATTGATGCTGTATTTCACATTAAAACCTCACCAGCTGGAACAGGAACCGTGACACTCTTCCTCTGTTTGGTTTGTCCGGTCCCACGACAAATACCACAGGGTGTAGAAATGACACTGCCTTTGCCCCCACAACGCCGGCACGTGGACCGCATCACAAACGGGCCGGTGTTTATGGTCTCCTACAAAATTATGTAAAGCAAACATTTTTGAGTAGTTCATGTTGAATAGGCGTTCACATAAAAGCGGATTTGAAGGGCACGTACCATTCCAGAGCCGTTACAATAGTGACAGTGCTGGACCTTTGTGCCGGGCTCGTGTCCTTTGCCGTCACATCTTTGACAGGAAGCATCCATGTTTACTGACATTTCTTTATTGACTCCTTTTGCGGCTTGATTGAATGTCAACTCCATGATGTACTACAACAAAAGCGACTATTTATTGAATGTCATCGAAAATGATTAGCGCAATTTCCAGTAACAAACCTCCTGCGGCTGATCAAATATAGCATTAAAGTCACCAAAGCCTCGTCCCCCTGAAAATTCACCAAAAATCTTGCGAAAAAGTTCTTCTGGGTCCACATTACTGGTTTGCCCTGACCAGTATCTCTGGCCTCCACCACCCTGATTGGGATCAAAGCCTGCAGACCCATAGGTATCATACTGCTTCCGCTTCGCTTCATCGCTAAGTACCTGAGAAACGCAAGAAAACCTCAGACAACAGGCCACATTTAATTCAATGTTTGAATGTACCTCATAAGCTTCAGCAAGCTGTGCAAACTTCTCCTTGGCTTGAGGGTCGTCTTTGTTTGTGTCAGGATGGTACTTTTTAGCCATCTGAAAGATTACAAAGCCGATTTGTTCGACACAATTATGTCAGCAAATCTATGTGTGCTGCCCAGACATACCTGGGTCAGCACTAGATCATATACGGAATCGGGACGGAAGCGGAAGTAAATACAACAAACTACCTATTCATGCCCAAACTTAACCAGCCATTCCCATAAAATAACCCCAACCCACCCTTAACCCTAACCTTAACCATCTTACTCAGACACCTAAAACTTAACCAGTCACCACTTAAGGAATTATTAGTCTAAAACTAAATTTGAAAGTAGGATTGTTACTTCCGGTTTCGTCCCGATTCCGTATATGATCTAGTGCCGTCCGACATACCTGATAGTAAGACTTCTTGATTTCCTTTTGAGTTGCTGTACGAGGTACACCCAGGATCTGGTAGAAATCTTGTTTATTGCTTGAGGTGGCACTTGTGTGAAAAGACAGGGTGGACACACCATTGGGAAATTTTAAACCTAAAATAAATGCAACTATGTGTTAAAAAGTTGATACATTGGTACATTAGTTGTTTAGAATACAGACATGGCACTTGATCCAAAATTGACACAGACAAAGCTGAAGTATACTAACCTCTATTATACCCATTTATCTGTGTGACTTGAGGCCTTAAAATCATATCTTAGCCAATTCATTATTTCTAAGACTCATCTCCAAAGCCCGTTACTTTGAATGCGGTTTGAACGCAGTTTGAACAAGAATTTTATGGAACTTTATGGAATTTTATGTCCATGGAGGTAAGCAGGACACAGCACAAGAATAAAGCACGAGTCAGATGTCTGGAGTGAGCCTACTCAATATAGAAGTTTTTAAATTCAGAGCAACAATTAATTGAATACAAGACCCTTTATATTGGGATCTCATACTCTAGAACATTCCTAACGAAGATATAATATCTTCATTGAGACACGTACACTGTTTGCAGACCCTGCCCCAGAACAGTTATAATCTATAGTGTGGCTTTAACAACTTTGCCACAGCAGAAGCTCAATGCCAGATGCCTGCGCACGTTGGGTTACATCACCCTGAACCTGGCAAATATAGGCAAATTATAACACATACGTTTCTTTCACACTTGTCTGATCACAATTCTTAGTTTTTTGAGAATAAGAACATATTGCACTAAAACTATCATAAACCCTTAGCTTAGCAGAGACCAGTGTGGCTCTTACCAGACAGTCCTCTCAATGTCAACCCTTTCCCCGGTCCGCCGCATGTCGTCGTTCCTCCACGCCACAGTTTTTCTGGACCAAATGTGGAGAAACTGCGGACACCTCCAGCCGCTTTGCAAACATTAGTAACAGCGACATTGCAGTGTCCAGATGACACGATGACAGTGACAATACGTGAGGATCTGCGAGCTACAGAAGACGCCATCATCTCACACCACGCCGGACATCTGCGCATGCGCCACAGTACGAGCGTGCGTTGCGTCCAAAGATGTTGAATGCATATGAGTCAAGATGGTAATGTGCCTTTTCATATAGGAAGTTAGATTTTTCCTTTATATGGAAATTAGGAACTGTTTATTCAAAAGTATGAAGCATTTATTATCAAGATGATTTTTTGCTAAAGTTGGAGTTTTATATAGAGAGTTATATTTGTTCACATTATCGTTTGATCTACTTTCTTGAGCAGACAGTTTTGTGAATCAGCCTCCGCACAGGAAAACACAATCTGAGCTGTCAGCTGCTCTGCTGCTCCAGCCTTCTGCCCAGTACCAGCTCCACACAGGCAGGCAGGCACCCGGAAGGCACGAAAGTCAATTTTAGTAGACAACATGAATCGCTTTAGGACATCCAAATACAAAAACACAACTCCCAAAATCGGCAAGAAAGAGGTGAGTGTTTTCCGACCCCTCATAGCTCCAGATAATCGCTCACTTCTTGCTAACTGGAGCTGTACTTCTGTTTGGGTTACGCCTTCAACTGATGTTCTGCTGCATCGCATCTTGAAGTGTAGAAAGAAGCGTAGAATTTTAATTGCTTACGTTTTGGTTTGCTCTATTTGATGCCATGTGGTTGCAATTGCACATAAACAGGGCTAAGCTAACAAAACAGCCAAACAACAGCAGCATCAACCAACAGCATAATCTGATTGTTCAATCTCTTTCAATGCTCGTCTTTTATTATAACAGGTCTGAACGGGACTATATCTCAGTCAATTGCTTTGACTTGCAGGTTCTTTCCGGAGATATTATGTAACCTCTGCCTGTACTTTAGTGAAGCAGTGAAATGTCTGGAATGTAGAGAAAAATCATAGTTGCAGTGCAGTGGAGACTGTTCTGTTTATCATGAAATCAACTTGGACAACTTCATTGCAGAAAACATGTTTATAGGCCTATTTGTGATTTGAATAGGTTTCACAACTCTGGCCAATGTGTAGTGTCATTAAATGCTTGTTTTACGTGATGTGCAATACAAGAAAGACTTCCACTTCCTTAAGTCTTTCAGAACGTCTTTTCACACATTAGGCTTCCTGTCTTTCACCTAAAACGTCCAATTGCTGTTTTGTAAGAAGCACCCAGTTGTATTGGTAACTACAAATGAACTATACATGCATTTCTGTTTGAAATGCATGCTTTTCCCCACCTAGGAATGGATCAGCAACACTCATGGCGGTTCCATCTTCAGCCAGGGGAACCACATCAAAGCAAGCTCCAAACTGGTGGTTTTCAGTACAGAACAGGCTGGTAAGTTTGTAAAGAATCTCTTCCCTCAGAAGAATGAGTGTTGTTTGGAATCATTTGAATTTGAGCTTAATAAATAATCATTGTAATAAAAAATGAATGTGCAGGAGGAGGTATGCTTGGGTTGTCTTCAGTCAAACCCGGAGCGGATGGTCAGAGGAATGTGACGCACATTTCCTGTCATTCAGGTAATTGAATTATTGTGTTCCATTCGGTTGAATTTATTTTCATTGAAAACATATCTAATGAGGTATATTTTCTTTTGCAGAAATGGTGTGTGATATGGATTTCTCTCCATTTGACGAGGGCCTCCTTGCAACATGTTCTGGAGATGAAACGGTAACATTATGGGTCCTTTTTTTCTACTTCAGTCCAATCACCTTTTCCCTCTTTAACTCAGGTTCTAGCAGCGTATTTTATTATTAAAGCATATATAGATGTATTCAAATCTGCTGAATCATGAGTCTGCAAATCCAGCAGTTCCTTTGCGTAAACATAATGTGGAAACATAAGCTGCCACACAACCCAGCACTCCTTAAAACTAAATATGCTGGGTCATATTTAAAACTATTGAATAATTCAAAGTGAGAATTTACTTAAACCAAAGAAATTATGTTTCTTTGGTTATTTTTTTCTTAGGACCCCTAGATGGGAGTTTGTAACAGTTTGGGACGGGGTTTTGTGTCACCCAATACATAAAGAGCTGTGAAATATATATAATAAATGCTTTTCATTGCTTCATTATCAAGTATGTTGATGATCTTCATGTTTTAATAGTACCACATGGTGTAAATTTCTTATTTTTTCTAATTTCTTTCTTATCTTATAAGCCTTTATATAACATAATTATACATTTCCATTGTCTGATTAATCAATATTTTCACATTTCAATCAATTTATATCCTTTTTTCTTGTTTTTGCTTTTTTTTTACATTTATAGAACCTTACTGACCCAATGTTGAACCAAACATATTTCTGTTAGTAGTAAAGAGTAATAAATGTGTATCAGTGATATCACTTTCACAACTTCAATCTGTTTTGTTGTTGTTGTGTGTTCCTGTTTGTTTAATGCAGGCAAAGCTGTGGCGTCTGTGTGATCCTGAGCTGGGGCAGCCCTCTGAACCTGAACTGGCCTTACACCCGGGACTGGGCAAACTGGAGCTGGTGCTGTTTCACCCCACCTCGTCTGGGATTCTTGCTTTAGGGGCGACCAACTCCCCGCTTCTTTGGGACACCAGTCGCCAAGATTCCCCTCTAGCAGGTGCAAAAAACATATCACATTCACCCAAGCCTTTCACAAATAAGATTTACGCCTTGTATAATGAACTGTCTAATGTATCTTTATCTCCTTACTACACTTATAAATATATTTATTTTAAATCACATTGTATTCATTAATTAGTCAATTAGTCAATTGATACAAAAACCTACAAACTGCTGGATTTGTGAAAGACTTGTCCCTCTTATTTAGAAACAAATCAAACTGGGATAAACCTGGATAAGTTTCAACACACACATTTTAAAAAATGTAAAAAATATAGCTAAAATTCAGTAATTTTTGTTCCGCTATTAGAGGGTAATTGTACTGTCAAATAAATCCTTTTCACGGACACCAGCTTTATATTTACTGTTGTAAATGTAGGCAGACTTTTGATTTTTATCAGTCTTTGTGACTATTCTCACTAATAATTAGAGTTGATTAGTCCTCATAGGCAAAACTACAGGACCTCAGCTTCACATAGAGTCCAGCCATTTGTGCTCCAAAGAGTTCTAGACAGATGGTGTTTGAATATTCACCAGAGCATGTGCATTTGGACTTAACACAAACACAGACAACAGTTGCACAGTAGTATTTACAGTAAACTTCATGCCTTACAACGTTCATTTTCAACATGAACGTTCACAAACAATGAACACGTTTATTTGAACTTTTCTTTATGCTACATACGTTTTTCAGCCCTGTGGCTCGGTCTAATTGCCGGAGCAGCAGAGGTAATGTTTTTAGTTTGAATCCTGGTCCCAGTTTTTCCCTGAACTGGCTTCAGGATATAGCCACTATCCTCTGGCCTGACACCTCCAGCCCTCCTATCACCACGTCCTATGAGAGCTGGCCTGGCTGCTGCTGCTGCTCACATCTGAAACCCTCATATCTATCTTCACCCTCTTTACATCGCTCAGGAGTGACAACATGACAACATGACTTTGTGTTGTTCCAATCACTTGTGTGTTTCATTGTGTTTCATGAGAGTGGACACGTGTGGCTAAAGCCTTGGGTGTGTTGTGGTAATTTATTCATAATTCTCCATGACTTCGGTTTGACCTTTGCTTCATCATGCCTTTTCTTGCATTTTCACTTGATTTAATCCCTTAAATTGCCTTCGCTGTTAAACTTTGTGCACAACTATTCCACTTGTGCAATTGTTGTCCTGTTTTTTTGTTATTCTCAGTAAGGATTTAACATGTGTCTCTTCCTTGAATCATTGTGTATACTTCATACATTTCTCTGCAGTTCTGGAGAATCACGGCGACCAGTTGCAGAGCTTGAGTTGGAAACATGATGGTTCACTGCTGGCTTCTTCCTGCAAGGTGAGCCGATTAGGAACTATTTTGTATCAAAAAACTCAAATTAATCAATAGAAATAAGGCTAAATATTATATATAGATAATTTAATACCTAATAATTCTAAGACTAAGATTCACTGAACGTTCACTTTGTGGTCAATATGTATTCTTACATAATTGAAATGATTTACCTATTATTTTATAGGAATCAAATGAAGTATGGTAGTATTGTTGTATAAGATAAGATAAGGTAAGATAAGATAGACTTTATTGATCTCACACAGGAGAAATGTACATGTCACATTTGGCATAGATAGAATCACTCAGATTGTACAAAAGACAGAAGTAATAATATCTCAAACGTCCACTTTACCTCTTGTTGGGCTGTACACCCATCCACCACTAGGTGGCATCACTAGGCTCTGAATAGTAGTAGAGTATTTGTTCATCTCCCAGTAGACTCGTTTATTTGTTCACATGGAGATTATTTGATTATAGGAATCTAGCAGGGGCTGACAATCTTAAAGGCAGTGGAGATTAAATCACAAATTGAAAAAGTGCTTAATAAGGAGGAAACCTACTTGTTGACTCAAGCTATTATGAGCTGCTTGTTTTAACAAAAGATTGATAATGAAGGTGAAGACCAAGGCTTTTCTACTGATGACACAAATCACTTTTCATAATTTTCCCTTTTATTAGGCGGTGAAAGAGAATAAAAAGTGAAAATGTTCAGCAATTTCAATGCATTGCTGCTGGTGTTTCAGAATATCAATGTGACATTTTCAACCCTCCTGGTATGAACTTCAGTCTTGGTTTTTTGATTAGAAATAACAAATTAGTCCTTAATTCTGTACTAATGATCCTAACATTTGTGTTAACCTGGCATATGACACGTTTCTCTTATAAAATACCAATGTTTCTTTGTGCATTGTCAAATAAATACATTCAAATCTACAACCATAGTTCCTGCTTCTAATGGTTATCTTTGTATTTAGTAGCGTAAATGTAGGACATTCAGGATTTTATAGCTCCTATAAATTTGTCCAACGTAATATGTCAAGTTCAAAGTTCTTTAGAACCATCTAATGACATTCTTTAGCTTAAAGTTCTCCAAACTTTCAGACAGAAGAATAACAACTCACGTGCCCTTATTAGTTCCAACTGCCCATCCACCTTCTATTGTTTGTCTTTGCGCTGACAAGGAACAAATTACTACAGCCACCTGTCACTGCCTTCAAGAAGTGGTACTTATTTTGACAGGATAATAATCATAGCCAAAGTGACTACCAGTCCAACAATCGGTCCACTAAAGCCTAAAGGATGTAGGCACCTGAGTGACAGCGGGGGGAAATCTGAACTAACTTCATAGCTTTGGGGCCCACTCCAGCCTTTGCCCTGTCCAACTCTGCTGGTGTCATTTAACCCAGCAGACCCCCTTCAATCTCTCCAATCCACCTTATTAAAGCAAATAGGGCCTGCTAGCATGTGGGTTCAATCCTGCCTCTCCCCCACCCTCTGCTTCAGGATAAACACTGGGGCATGGTGGAGGAGATGAAGGCAAGGCCACCACCCCATCGAGCTGGAATATGACAGCCTCAAAGACATGTGTATGGCCTTCTAAGTAGAAAGGAAATGTAGAGGGTCTGATGTATGTAAAAGTAATTCCTTGGGCTCAAATGAGGAGTTACATTCTTAATGACCAACAGTTCACCTCATATACTAAAATAAGTTGGCATGTAAAAGATGAGTGTTGTGTTTTCTCTGTACTGCCAATCTCATCAGTCTTTGACTTCAGTAACCGTGGGATACTGGGAAAAGGGCACTGGCAGCCTGCTATGTCAAAAAAGTCAAGAGGGCTCTCCTCCTGGATGGACGTTCTCAGCGCCTGTGTGTCTGTGGCGGAGCTGTGTGCTGCGGACTAACAGTGAAACTTATTAAGAGCAGCTTGTGAATGAGCTTGGTCGGTGTGATTAAACAGCTGCCGCCTCGGCACACATCCACAGCTCTCAGCCTCTACACTTTATGACATGAGGTGTTTGTGTTCACAGGGGCTATTGTCATTGGGCTAAAAGTGTGTTTGCATGTTTTCTGTTTGTGCTTATGGATGGAAGGCAGGTCTCTGTGAGTAGCCCCTCATCTATGTGTTTGCACAGCCTGATAGTTTCCTCCTCTGCACTGATATAGAGCTGGGACTCCCATTGCCATCAATCGGAGAAGACACTTATAAAGTTTATGTCTCGACAGTATTTGCAAAAGCCTTAATGACACAGAGTAAACAAAAAACTCTTTATCTTAAATATATTATGGACACTATGGGCTAATAACTAGACCTCATTAAGCACCTTCATATGTCTGTTTTCCCTGGAGTAGTCCCTGAGCCTTTGGCTTAGACCTAGGTCAGCAAGACCTGAAATTATTGCCTTAAGCTTTCCGATAGTGGGTGGGCTTCACATAGACACACGATGGGGGACAATGAGAGTATTAGAAACTAATGCAAACAAATTCTCTCTCTCTTATGAGCGTGGCTTACCTTACCTTTGCTTTGAAAAAGAGAATGCACAGGCATATAATTAGCTTAAACAGCTGCAATATATTTATATGTATAGACGTTCCCTGTATAAGTCCTGGTCCTTGACAGTATCCTGATGCACCTCCTGATTGCTCCTGACATGTATATGTATGCTAAGTGTGCGCCTGGTTTAGTCTAAAGCTGCAGAGCTGTTACAACGGGCCACTATCGGCAGCTTCTCTGAGATCACAGTCACAGACGTATTGAGTGACACCGGCGCAGACACAAACGTCACGCTCACACACTGATCCCATTAGAAGCCATTTCCTCTCAATCACACAGGAACTGCTCTGATTGGCCCACCTGATGGATGCATACTTCATGTTTGCACTCGCCACAGTCTGAAATGTTAAGGTCACAGAGTGGTCAGATTGCATCTGCTAAGGATGAGCTCGTGAGATGGTCCTGATAACATGTGAACCGGGTTTATTTGAGATCACTCACAAAGGGACTATCTATAAAATGAACCCTTATAAATCATGTTTATTTTTAGAAGTGGCAATGTTAATTTTGACAATAAATATCTGTGTTATCTCCAGGATAAGATGCTGAGAGTGTTTGATCCTAGAGCCCAGCTGTCTGCAGTTCAGGTAAGTTTATTCTTGTGTAGCAACAACTATTCCTCCCATCTCTATCAAGATCACTTAGAGAATAGTACATAAATGAGAGCAAAATAGAAAATTATGTTTTTCTATATCCTGCTACCAATATTCAATGACACATTATCATGGCAAACAATTGGACAAATTGCAACGTGACCTCTATCTAACACACAGTTATAACAACGTAATAATCAGGACCAAACTAATCAGGCAATTTGTATTTTTTTGGTTTTGTTTTGTCTTTTGGGTGTCTCTGTGTATTGGTCTTCACCCTGCTCTTTCATTAATCCTCATAACAGTCTGGAGCGGTGAGGCCTGAGTCAGCACTCTGGCCACCCCTGTACACACAGCACAACCACCTCAAAACTAAAGAGACTGAAGCAACATCAAAGTCCTTTGAACGGTTTTGATTGCATTGGTTTGGAGATTTAACTTGGAATCGGGGAAATATGGCTGATATCTGTACACTCCGTTGAAGTTGGGGGTATATGATCGTGCTGCCTGCTTCATGTAGTTCTGGTAACAAGCGGTTGTAATCTTTTCCTTGTGGATTTTGAAGTAGCAGCTGTTCTTGAGATATGTCCGAGTACACATCTACATATCTAAATTTGGTAGTATTGGTCATGATAGATGATAGAAGTGGCCAGTTAGATTTTCTGGGCATGTTTTATCTTAAAACAATTGTCACCTGCATGTATCCATGGAATTAAAGTTTTGACCATGCTATGAAAAAATCTTTGAATGAAAAGCTTAATACCAGCTTAATAAACTGAGATCCAATCGTTTCAATCTGCAAAAGGAGTTAACCCCTCCCACCTGTTCACAGAGCTCAACGGAGCACCTCCAGACCTTAGTATGAAATGTAATCTGTACTATGGTGTGGTACGACCAGGCTGCTTTTGACCTGATATTCTGTTTAGCATTGGATTCCAGTCCCTTCAATATATAGCCAGTTACATACATGTTTTGGTCCTTTTAAAAACACGATTGGTGTATAAAGCTAATGAACTTTTTTCTGTTTTATTTAATTATTTGATATGGACACAACAATTAGCATGCTAATTTTCAACACTTGTTCATTAGGAGGCTTTTAGGACATAAATGCAAACGTTTAAAATGCACAAATATAAAAATGATTAAATGTACAATTAATAACGTTGCTCCGATTAGAACCACTTAATACTATCAAGAGTGTGTTGTGAACAAAAATACATGGATATTTTGAGAGCAAGGAAAGAGTTACAGGTACATTCATTCTATTACTTTTAAAGTCAGGTATCCCATCTTTAAAACCCTTAAGACAAGTTTGGCAAAGTGTATCTACATCATTGATCATGAGTCTAATTACAAAGAATCATGCAGTGATCATTTTTGACGTTTGGGTTCAGAGTTCGTTCATTTCCTTGTCCCTATCCTGGCCGATTGTTCTGGCCATCTTAAAGGGACCATTTCTGCAGTAGCTCCAGCTTGAGCCAGGTGGGGTAAATTTAACTTCTAATTATAGGCCTTCCCTTTCTGTATTTATGGGAAATAAGAGTGCAGGATAATTAAGGTCTTTGGACAGTAGTAGCAGAAAATCCTCCATCTGTAATCAGTACAAGTATGTGTATGCAGACTGCTCTGTTTAGGCGGTTCACATAAGGAGAGGGTGTATGACTCCCACTACAGTATCACATTTTGTTTTTCTCTCCGGCCTGTCTGTCGTCTTTAACGTTAAAACTTTTTGGCTTAGTTTAGATACAGAATAGCCATTGTGTGTTTCTGTCCTTTGGAACACAAGGGCTCAAGGGCTCTAAGCAATCTGTAGTCTTTTGATAAATAAGTGCACTCAATAAGTTAACCCTTTAGGTTCAGAGACTTATAAATCATAAATTAGACTCATAAATTATTCAAATCAATTTTATATATAAATGAATGTAATAAAGGTAGCGAAAAACGTTTGTGGAGGTTGCTGTATAGAGAGCGTTAATTGGCTTGATCAAAATCCATGGTTCTAGTATGGTTTCTCAGTTTTATATAATCTATCAAAGTTTGTTTTAGGTTGGCTTTACACCTCTAATTCAATGTTTTTTATTTAAGTACTTATTTAAGTACCAGTCAAGATTCTGTCCATAACCTCCACAATCGGTGTACTGTTGTCAATGATTTCTTCAACATTTCTGTGCAGTTTTCAGTCCTCCCCATCCTCCACCTTGTTTTCCTGTACTCTTCTACACAGCTCCAATTCTACAGAAAAAACAAATATGGTTAACCTACTCCTCAAAGGACAAGGTGTTTTTGTGGGTATGGAGCACGTGCCTTGCCTGTGTCAATAGTGCCTCAAAGCTCATCCTTTTCATCTATTCCTAATGTCTTTGTTGTTTTTCTTCTGCCGAATGTTTAATTTTGTCCTTTGTGTGTGCTTTAAATTACAGTGCTGAAAATACCCCTCATAGTTTGGGCCCGCGTTGGCTCTTCAGTCGCGGATTTGTGGTCAGTAGCAGAGGAGGGAGACAGGAAAAGGGGAATATTTCTTTGGACGTGGGGGCCAGATTTTGACTAGAGCTTCTGCTGCTTCACTGAAATTAGAGAGGACTTGGGGTTTGAATGGTTTGGATATCAGGACGGAATGGTTTGGTCAGGCCAAGGAAAAGCTCAGCGGTTTTCTTACCAGCATAGATAGTTCTGTGTATTTTTAAGAAACAAAAAAGTGTATCAATAAACACGAGCAATACACAAAACTTCATTTAGAGAGCGTTTCTAGTTGAATATACTTGTCAAGGGCACACGTACACACGTACAACTCCAGGACAAGAACATAATCCAATTTGAAATTCAAACATTCATTCATTCATTTTCTACCCCTTTGATTAATCCATTTCTGGGTCGGGGGGGTGGCAATGAGAGCTGCCACCAGTCCCTCGCTGACCCTCTGCAGGTGGTGGGTCCACAGGAAGATGGCCGCTACATCAGTGGTGCCATAGCCTTGGTGTTTCAGCGGGAGCTTCAGGCAATGTGGGGTTAAGTGTCTTGCCCAAGGACACACCGACAGCAGACATTAGTGGGAGCAGTTGGAGTAGGTCCCGTGGTGGTTTCGAAGCCACGACCTGCAGGCCCAAATGCTAAAGCTCTACCAACTGAGCTACCGTCGCCTTACAAATTTGCAAATTCAAACAATCCATACAAATCAAAGGAAAAATGTACTGTATATTTTGCGTTCCCCAAGTCCATATGCTTTCTCGATTACTGTTGATTGCTGCAAATAGGCAATATCTATAAATGTCAAATCCCACCATCAGTGAGACAGCGAGTGAGGGGTCTTCCACTTTGTAGCCCCGTTCTTTTTCTTTTTAGCAGCTATAAGCTATAAGCCCTCCCAAGAGAGATTTTTATGGACGCGCATTCCAATAGCAACTCAAATAACCCAAAACAAACTTAAACATGGGACGTCTTAACGAAGATTGTGTCAGGATTAGCGGCGCTACCTGCATGTGAAAACCAGATCCTGTCTGACCTCTAAAACTAAGCAGAGTGGGGCCTGGTTAGTGCTATGATGGGAGTCTTGTGGGAACTCCAGGTGCCACAGTGGGACTTGCGTCCTTAGGCAAGACACTTAACCCAAATTGCCTAGAATGAGTCTGGTGTGAGTTGGTAGAGCATTGGCCTTTGGGCCTAAAGGTTGTGGGTTTGAGCCCACCACGACACCTACTTCACGACTCCCACTGATGTCTACTGTCGTTGTGTCCTTGGGCAAGACGATTAACCCCACTTTGCTTGGACCCCCCGCTGAAAAATAAAGGCAGCTCAGACTAGAGTGGCCATCCTCCTGTGGACTCACCACCTGCTGGAGGATCAGTGAGGGGCTGGTGCTCTGTGTACTGGCTGCATCTCTGACGGCCACCCCTCCAATCCAGAAATGGATTAAGGGGAAGTAAATGGATGGATGGATGGGTGGAGTGTGGTGTGGGTGTGCATGTTTGTGCGGCCCCTGTGGTGGTCACCGGGGCCGATGGCACATACTGGTCGCCTTGCTTCTGTCTCCTGTCTATCACCACTGTGTGTGGAGTGAATGAAAAAAGTGTTATATAAAATCGATTGCATTATTATTATTAGAATTTAATAAAGTATTATTTTTCACCCGGTATGACTAAACATTTTACATAATCAAACCTCATTCGAGTGGTTTGTCTTTTGTGCAGACATAATATACAACCCTGATTCTTCTGCTATCTCTGCGCCTGTGGACTCCTCTAATTGAAAAAGTGTGTATTTGGTCAGCAAGTTGGGTGTACCCGCTCATATTTCTCATTACAGGCAGAATAAAGCAGCAGCAGCAGCGTGGCAGTGTTTAAAGTACCAGTGTGGACTCTGGCAGGCAGCACAATGAGGCCCTTTGACCATGGCACAAGTGTTTAGTTTGTCTCACAGATGTAAGCCCGCAGGGCCAGTTCTGAAGGAGCAACATTCATGGAGGTGACGGGAAATGGAAAGAACTAATTTTCGGAGTGTTGCACTTTTGGCTTGTTTGCATTATTTGGATTATGTTTACTGTTTTTTGTATCGCGGAGCTATCAGTTAAAACAAGTTAATTAAACTAATCAAGTATTGTAATAGTTCTCAACTAATTCAGTCATCAATTATGCAGTTGTTGTGGTTTATTTGAGTCTCATGACTCAGTTGGCGATAGTGGCTCAGTTGGTAGAGCATTGGCCTTTGAGCCGGAAGGTCGTGGGTTCAAGCCCACCATAAGACCTACTTCATGACTCCCACTGATGACTGCTGTCGTTGTGTCCTTGGGCAATAAACTTAACCCCACTTTGCCCGAAGCCCCCACTGAAAGATCTCAGCTCCTGTGGACTCAGCATCTGCAAGAGGATCAGTGAGGGGCTGGTGCTAAGTGCACTGGGTGCCGCTCTAACTGTCACCCCCCCGACCCAGAAATGGATTAAGGGGAAGAAAATGGATGGATGGATTCAAATAGAGCTGTAATTTCATCGCTACTGTGTTGT